TGAGGAGAGATTTTACGTTGAATCTAACTAGAATATCTTGTGGATCGAATGTAATCGTTTTTAATTGTTCAATGAAATGAAAGGAATTAAGTACGAAACTAACAGTTCTCCCTGCGAAGGCTTTTAATATACAAGCTAGTCCGTAGAGTCGAATTTTAGAATTATGAAGGGTAACATGGAGCCTGATAGAAAAGAAGCCTTAATAACAGATTTGAGGTTGCATTCCATAGATAATGTTTTTTTTTAAGTTGACGATATCTGTAAGAATATCTTGAATCTTATCCTGATATTCATTTGTGTTCATGACCACCACCATCTGCTTTTAAGATTACGATGTCGGGATTCGATTTTAGAGACTTTAAAGCAATGCGTTCAGACTTTGGAATATTCGATTTATGAGGTTTGTTGCTGTTTCAAATCGAATTTCATTAGTTGCTTGAGATGTATGAGAGAGAGTTTGGTTAGAATAGAGTCGACATGTGAAACGATTTCCACTTTTGGGATAATACGTGGGGCAAGAACCAAGTTGGATCTTTTTGCAAGAACTGATTTTTTACTGTCTGAAAATTGGCGCGATGATACATTTATCAGAGTGTTTGGTTGGTTAATTGCATATTATGTAACAAGTGTGGTAAATGGTATTTGAGTCACGAGTTTATTTGGCACAAGCGGAGCGAGTGTGTAATAAACGAGTGACTTAAAAAGTTTACCAAACCTGATGCATATTTAATATTTTCTACGACCATTAACTTTTGGGTAGATTTTTGAAAGAAACAACACTTCACCGAATGACATGACCGCCTAAATTGTCTGATATATTGCATAACATTTTCCTGTGTACTGTGTACACAACACAAATCCATTCACTGTCATGATCGTCAGAATTTACAAACGTCAAAATTCAAACCGTAAGGTAAAATGCCCGAAAACATCCGATTGCTCCCAAACCCGTGCGGTAAAATTCCGGAAATGTCCGAAATGACAAATGACATTTTCCGCAAGCTAAATCGGTGTATAATTAAGTATTTTACAGAAGGGAATAGAAAAAATATATAGCAACCACTTACTTCAAAAGAATTGTAAACAATTGAAATCCCTTCACAAAGTAACAATTAAGAAACAATTTACCCGCAACAATCCCAATCAGTTCTTTTTTATAAAACTTTTGGATTCCTCCTGCGTCGGTTTTTATTAAGTCGAACTAGTTAACGTTTTGCTAATCATCCTGTTAGCTAGTATTACAGTAGCGTGTGGAAGTATCTTTGAAAAATTAAACCCAATCAGGTAGAACAATCGAGAAATAATATTAAGAATCTCGTCGTCATTTCCACCTGCCATTAATATTAAGGTGTGCGAGAAAGGAAACTACCCGTCTCACTCACAATAAAATTTGCTTCACAAAATCGAGGAACCATTCTAGTTCGTTAAATAGAGTTCACGGTTCTTATGTACAAAACATTTTGGCTGATGTATGGGAGGAAGGACGCGATGCGACCCACTTCTTTGATAATTACGGTAATTTTGTTTTCCGACGGCCCTTTCGCATTCGACTTTGATAGGTGTCGCTTTCGGCGTCAGCTGACTTGCATCGGAGTGCGCTCTCGTCGCGTAGATGAATGCGACCCCGGCAAATTGAAATTTTACGTGCGATATTAAAATTCCTCGAGATTCTTCGCTTGAACTTTAAGCTAAGCGAATTTCTCGGTTTTCGCAAGACGTTGCGATCCTATCTCATTTAACGTTGTAAGAATATGCTCACATTTCCATCAATACAAACATGGGCCTATCTATTAATAGTATACCGGGTGTCTTAATAATTTAAAATTAAATATTATTCAGTAAACCGGTCGAGAGAAAACGCTGCAAATTATTTTGGAGATATGAAATTGAACTATGGGTTTTTAAAATCTGTATCTGCCAAATTTTGTTATATTACTAATAGTTAGAGTTTTACGTTTTGTGCTATCTCTAAATAAAAAGTAAGTAGTGAGATTTCGAAAATAAAGGTCGATTACCCCCAGAAGGCTTAGACAATAATAACCTCAAAATATTTACTTTCCTTTCAGGTGGCGTTTTCTGACATCATACACAATCATTAAAAAAAATCGTTTTACATTTATTTTTTAAAATTATTTAAATTATTGGTTATAACAGCAACAATAGATAAATTTCGTGATTTATCTTTATTACTGTTTGTGCAATAAAGAATACCACATTATCCCGCAGCAGACATTATCACTGTGTGTTTCGTTGGCTGTTTTCAAGTATTTAGTATTTTTTCATTAAAAATTGGATTTAGTCAGCTAACCGAAACTAATCAATATTATAAAGCGCGTACTGTTGCCATTAAACCGCTATAACGGAAGTTCTAAATTTGCTTAATTCAGCATTTGGCTCTCACATTTCAAAATTTATTATTTCGTCGTTTATGTTTATATACATATATGTCGGTGCCGCATGTCGTGCCATAATTCTGTGGTTCATGATAGCCATTTTATATTCAACACAAAATAATTTCTTAAAAATTTATGGCGGTTTCTATTCTCTCTTTAAAACATTTTGTTATGATTTTAATTTTTTAGAAACGTGACTTTAAAAAATTAATAGAAAAGTTGGTGCTTCCGTACTTTGCTAAATAAATATTCATAATTTTTTAACAACCAGAACTGTTTAAAATGGTAAACCATAAATTGCCTGTGTTATCTTTCTGAGATGGTGAGATGGAGAGAGAAACATAAACATGAATGGAATAAATAGTGATGAAGTAAGAATTTTTTTTCTAATTTAATATCACGGTTAGTTGCGTTTTCTGACATCACACACGAAGAAGAAAAAAAAACTTTTTTTAAAGCGTTTTAAATTTACGGATTGTTATTCGTTACAACATTAGATAAATTTCATGATTTATCTTTATTACTTTTTGTACAATGCAGGACACAACATTATCCCCCCGCTGACATTATCACTGTGTGTTGGGAGCCTTGCCTGTTTTCAAGTATTTAGTATTTTTTCATTAAAAATTGAATTTAGTCAGCTAACGAAAACTAATCATTATAATTTTTAAAATGCATACTGCCGCCATTAAATCGCTATAACGGAAGTTCTAAACTTGGCTGATTCAGCATTTGGCACTCACATTTCAAAATTTATTTATATGTCGGTGCCGCATGTCGTGCCATGATTCTGTGGTTCATGATAGTCATTTTATATTCAACACAAAATAATTTCTTAAAAATTTATTGCGGTTTCTATTCTCTATTTAAAACATTTTACATTTTATTATGATTTTGGTTTTTTAGAAACGTGCCCTTAAAACAATTAATAAAATTTTTACCGAGAAAAGTTGGTGCTTCTGTACTTTGCTACGAAAATAAATATTCATGAATTTTTAACAATCAACCAGGACTTTTTAAAATGGTAAAACGAAAATTTTCTTGTCTTTCTGAGATGGTGAGATGGAGAGAGAAATATAAACATGAGTGGAAGAAATAGTGAAGAAATAAATGTTTTTTTTTTAACATTTACGAGTTATTGGTTACAACAGCAACATTAGATAAATTTCATGATTTATCTTTATTACTTTTTGTGCAATGCAGGACACAAAATCATCTAGCAGCTAACACTATCATCGTGTGTTGAGAGCCTTGCCTGTTTTCAAGTATTTAATATTTTTTCACTAAAATTTGGATTCAGTCAGCTATAAAGTCATTTATAAAGCGCGTACACAAGTGGCAGCGTACACTCATCATTAATCCGCTATAACAAAAGTTATAAATTTAACTATTTCATCATTTTTCACTCGCATTTCAAAATTTATTATTTCGTCGTTTATGTTTATAAACATATATATCGGTGCGAATGTCGTGCCATAATTCTGTGGTTCATGATAGCCATTTTATATTCAAGACAAAATAATTTCTTAACAATTTGTTGCTATTCTCTTGGTAAAACATTTTATATTTTATTGTGATTTTCACGTTTTAGAAACGCTAACTTAAAAAAATAATAAATAAAATTTTCATTGAAATAAGTTGGTTCTGAATTAATATTCGTCGATTTTTAATAATCAACGAGGACTCTCTAAAATGTTAAACCGTCTTTAAAGTTGGAGAGAGGAACATAAACATTCATGGAATAAATTGCGAAGAAATGAAGATTTATTTTGTAATAAAGTATGACGGTTACATAATCGATGAAATTATCTGGGTTAAAAATTATATTTAATCAATTAACCTGAAAGTAGTGAAATGTGTATTAAAATAAAATAATCCTCAACTCCCAGGGCATATTGTAACAAAAACCAAATGCCAAAAACTCAAAATTGCATTCTTATCATATTTTCCTCGACGCCTCTCTCGCTGACATAATTAGTTAAACGAAAATCAGTGTCAACATTCCAACATTACCCTTGCGCAGATTTTCGCAGGCTGTTTCGCCACGTCATTCCCGAAAAATTAACTTCACGCCGCAGCGGCAACTTCAACAACAAACAACTCCCCCTCTTACCCGATACGGCGCGGCAAAAAAAAAGAGCCGCTAATCACTATCGCGGGCTGGCGGGGGAGAAGGTGGCGGCGTGGTGCGTGTTGTACACCCTTTCTATAGGCGTACTCCCCGGCGGCGTCTCGCCCCGCGGCCCAGGAAAACCGCGCCACAAGTGGCAGTTGGCCATGGTGCCCTAGACAGTTGCGAATCGGTCGGACTGGCGGCTCGTCGTTTCGCGGGAGCCCTGTTTATTTTATTCGTCTGCCGTGCCAATGGGCAGCAATTTGTGTTGTTGTGGTTGCGCGCGTGACATTGAGGTTATGATCGATGCGTCCGAATATGTATAATTCGGTTCGGAATACGTGGAGCTTTTAAAGTTACCAATATCCACCTTGGGCCAGTTGTTTTTAAGGAACAGGATGTCAAGCACTTTTATCTTTTTACTAAAAAAAAAATGTGCGCTACTGACTAACAACTAAAAGTGATGGGCGTTTGGGCGTTTTTCGTATTTCGCGTCATATATAATAAAAATTGAATAGTTAAAGCGCTTTTCTCGCACATTTTGTATGAAAAATCATTTACTATCGAATATCACATAACATTACGAGATATCACAAAAAATTACGTTTTCAATTGTCCTTATCCTAAAAGAAGTATCATGATTAATGCTAAATTATTACCGTAAATACCAGCTCCATCTAACATTTTTTGTTTATATAACCCGTTTAGCACTTAAATAGAAAATCGTATAAAGTTGTTGGTGGCCAAATTTTAGTTCCATATAAAACTTTTATTCCATATTAATTTTTAACTAAGAGGTTGTCCTCACCTTTATAAACTATAACTAAATTTTATAACGCCAAGGAATACATTTTCCTTACTGCTGTTAAAGCTACGTGCAGTGTTTATGAATATTAAACAAAAAACGTCCGTTTTTGCTTCATCTTTTTCTATATCATTTGTTTACAATATAATTTATTTCATACCTTTGTCATTGTATTTTGCTTTTACTCTAAAGTTGACAGCAATGGATTTTACAATTACAATTAAACAGTACAAATTTCGTATGACGACTTATTTTGTTTTTGGCATAAAAAAATATCCAATAATTTTATATCGTACCCTTCCTTAAACTAAACCGCCCTCGTTTAAAGCACTTTAAAACGTCATTTTGGTAAACATTTGAGAGCTGAAATTATATCTGACTAAAAGATTTTTGCAATTTAAATACAGATAATTAATGGTCTATTTTTGAAGAAATTTGTCATGAATATATTTGTATTAATTTGGAAAACATAACAATGACCTCCATTTAGAACGTCGCCATATTCACCAGTTTAACTTTTTCAAAAATAAGTATCCAGATAAAGTTAAGCAATGAACCTAACATTCCCTTTAAAATTGTACAAATGAAAAAATTTCGTTCGATATATCATAGCAGCGTTAGTGCTTTAAGATTTATAAGAGTTTTACGGAATCAGTTATAAAACCGCAAGAGTAAAAGTATTATAGTTAGGTTTTTAGGGTCTGTATAAAACTTTTTATAAATCCTAAAGTAACCAATACCAAGGGTTTTATAAATAGAGTAATGGCAAAGTTTTGGATGCAATATTATAAATCTTAGAGTATTTTGGTAATTATTGAAATCCTTACAAAACTTGTAACACCAATGATTTTCCTATAAAACTATAAACACCGTTATAAAACCTAAGGTTTGTTATAATAGTATATTATGCAACAAGTGCGGTAAACGGCATTTGACTCACGAGTTGATTTGACACGAGCGGAGCGCAGCGAGTGACTTAACAAGTTTACCGAACGTGTTGCATACTGTACTTTTTCTACGACCGTTAGTTTTTGGATACATTTTCGCAAACCAACACCAATACATTCACTGACATGACAATCAATTGACAAACGTCAAAATTCAAAGCGTGGGAAATATCTCCGAAAACATCCGATTGCTCCCAAATCCGTGCGGTAAAATCCTGGAAATGTTCGAAGTAGCTCGGATTCATGGGAAACGGAACTGACGTGGTATTTTAAAGACGGGAGTAGAAAAACCCCCTTTATACATAACCGTTAATGAAATCTTAAACCGGGCAAAATGTTAGTTGGCGTATCAAATTTGAACAAAATTGACCAGAAGATGGCAATCAATTATGATTATTATAATATAATAATTATGTATCATTAATTGAAATCGTATTTTTTATGTGGTGTTTGACACTATGTTTCTTGACGGACCCACGTTTAATATAAACTTTTTGCCTTAAATCCGTTCAAAGAATACCGAAAATAAAGATGTTTCGTTTATTTCTGCTCAAGTGGACTTAGAAAAATCAACAAATGTTTAAATGAGTCGAAATAACTTATCAACGAGTAAATCATTGTTCAGGTTATTATACATTATAATCTAAAGTAACTTTTCCTGCATGACGTATGCAATTTCCGTTAAGTATCGGCACTGTTGTAAGTGTTTTGAAAGCTTGTCAAGAGGATTCGAACTAATCTGAATAATTTAATTCGGTTTTCCGGGCTTGTCATTCTAAAAAAAGGGGTTTTAATTATTCATTGACAGTAATTTTCCCATATTTTAAGTAAATGAGAATAACCGACGCGAAACGTTCGTCATAGATCGCGTGACAAATATATTTATTTTAATAAGAAGGGGAAAAATTTAGATCCCAGTGCGTGCCTGATGTTGCGCCGCATCCACGAATCTAATTTTAGAACTGCGAAGTGGCAACACGTTAACCCTCTCGTTATAAGTCGCGGGGGAAACAACTCGGAAAATAACCGCAAGAAATTTCATTTCACGGCGCGGTAGACATAACGAACGTACGTCGTAATTAATGCAACCCCCGGCGTTCATATAAACAACTATTAATTATATTTGCGTCATTATATCGTTACGGTCGTATTTTCGACTTTTTTCGAACCGACGAGAAAATTCAATTTTTGAGTAATTATCATATCGATTGCCGATATAAAACGACGGGGATGCAATTTTCAGTAACATTAACTAAATTCAATTTCGGTTTCGCGTCACCATGTCGAAATTAGTTTGATAAACATTCCGCATATTGTCCACCGCGCTAGCGTAATTAATATTACACCGGCCCTTTGTTAGAACAAATTCGAACAACAACATCGGGATAATTGTTTATAAAGCGCGTACTGTCGCCATTGCGTTAAGCCGCTAGAACGAAAGTTCTAAAATTGGTTAGTTGAGCATTTCACATTTCAACATTTATTGTCAATGTTTATAGATAATTTTGCGTCGTTCCATAATTCTGCGGTTTATGATGGCCATTTTATTTTCAACAAAAATAATACCTTAAAAATATAGTACCATTTTCAATCTATTGGAAACATATTTTATATATTCTGTTATGAATTGCATTCTGAAAACGTAACGTGGGGAAGTAACAAGATTGCTTTCGAAAATTCGTCGCTGGGTGGGGCAAGTTCGTATCTCGTAGGGTGAAGCAGCCTTGTTTTTCAAAATGAAGCCGCTTTGCGGTTCCTTGTCGTACGGGGACGCATTGTTTTCTATCGTGCTCCTGCCACTGTGGAACTTTCGCAAATGAATGTAATTTTATTGTACATGCACCCTGTATAAAGTGTCTGTTACATCTCGCAGAACTTCCAAGTCACGGAAAACTTTGTTAAATATTAAAATTTGTACAAATAATAACGTTGTCGAATGATATTTTGTCAAATATCTCGCGCACAGGACGCGCACTCTTTCTCGACAGAGTTTACTATACTGTTCAAATCAAATTAACGGATCTTTAGCAGTTTTTCATTTATCCCCAATAAGTTACCCGGAAATTTTTAGGCTCATTTAGATTTTTTACCCATAAACGACACACCTTGCATACAATTCAAACAATGTTCGAAATAGGGGTAATAGCCCTGGATCTCCCATTTCTCTTGGTATATGAATTTTTCCAATAGAGCAAATGGTTTTGGAAAAAATGCTGGTTTTCTGAAATCATGCAGTACGTCGTAATAATAAATGACGTCATCGCGTTTAGATTGTGGGCGTGAAATGGTGATTTTCATTTGGATTTTTTCAAATATCTCGAACAGTGTACGTGATAAACGAAAACCGTAAAAACAAAAGTTGTAGCTGTCGATGTGGCCTATAACACGGTATAAACAAATTTTCCATATTTTTAACGAATTTTGTTTTACGTCTAATAATTTAATAGCGAAAATAATGTTTTTCAGGTTCTTTCAGATTTTTGTCTATAATCGAAAAAATACTTCAAATAGAAGTTATATTACCGAATCTTCCGCGTCTCCTGGTAAAATAATTTTGTCGATTAAGTTAATAGTTTTCCAGAAATTTTGTTTTTTCTGGAAGAAAAAATAACATAAATAAAAATTTCAAAAATTTAAAAAAAAATACTAGGCAAGTCTTGATTGCTCCCAGTTTCTACGGTTTAGATGTAAGTGTGAACTTTCATTTCTCTGCTAAATTTGAAATCGATAGTTACAAATTTGAGACTATTTCATTTTTGAATATGGTACAGAATATTCCAATCACCCTGTACAATATGTGAAAACCTAAAATACAAACGTTTTAGCAGTCCATACGGACTATATGGTCGCGTCTTCTAATTATGGTCATTTATCCTTATAAGGGGAACCCAATTTTCATTTTTTCCAATTTGCTGGACCCTGTACATTTTTTCAAAGTCGTCAAGAATAAATGGTTTTGGCCAGGATCTCGCGCGTCTTCTGGTTTTTAAATTTTTTTATGGAGAAGCAAATTTAAACATGCGTGTAATAGATATCGAATAAAATAAATCTATTTCCTTTTAATTAAATTATTAATTAAATGTTTAATTCCTTATAAATTAGGACAGTTTCATATTGGATGAAATCCCCTCCATTTAAACGAAAACAAATCTTACCACGTCAAGACATCTAATTCCTTAAGGATTTGAGTGATTGTTTTTCCGTCAGATCACGATACTTAAGGTTTCGGTGCCGGATTATTCGCCCTCTCTTTTGTATAATTACGATTTTGTAATTGAATCCCCGGGAGAGAGAGTGCTACATTTTATTCACTCTTTTCGGGCGCTGGATAATTAAAGATCGTATCTCTGTCAGCAAGGAAACGTGATAAATTGATAGCAAGGGTTGGTCGCGGAATCTAGAGACGAAGTAAGCTTCGAGGGTCGGTAGCCATTGTTTTTGGGGAAGGTAAAAAGCAGGTTATAGCCGGTGTAATTTGTAGCCGAACTAGGACGACTCATGGTTTTTGTTTTGAAGTAAAGGTGTAATAAAACTAACTTTGGGAATACAATTTCCGAAGCGTTGTCACCAAGTATGGAAAGTAATTAATTTCTCTCGACAAAGGGTCTAGCGGAAATTCGAATGAAACTTTGTGCAATACAATCATTGATCACTTCGGGTCACTGTACTTCTAAATCCTTCAGAGCTGAAATAGCAGAGCTTACAATGTAGTCTGGCATAGATAAAAGCAGAAATGTAAAAACAAAACATTGCATATTTTGAAACACAATTAAACCATAATCAATGTTCTAAAGAAAATAGAAAGTAATGTTTATGTCCATAATTTAAAAAAAAGTAACGTTATAGGTAACAAAAATGAAATGAGTACAATGGACAACAAGTGCTAAGTTTTGTATTGTATATAAAATGTCTAGCGGAAGCAATGTTTGGTATGAGCTTTGGCGGGAATCTAAAGAGGCGAGAGCAAACAACAACCGTGAAGAATTAGTTTAACTTCCTTGTCTCGAGCGGAAACTATAGAAAACTTCGTTGGGCGCGTCCCCCTTTAACTTGATTTGTTCTCATTACATTCTGTTTTCACCTGTACCTGCAAACTTTGGAGTACAAAGAAAGCCTCTCGCCCGGAAAACTGCGAGAAACTTTATTAACTTTTTAACCTTGCTAAATAATCCAAGACGTGTCAAGCGCGTTCGCAATTGTCGATTAATTCGAGGTCAGACTGCGAACGTTATTTATGGAACGACGTCGTAGTCCAAGAGCTCATGTCTAAAAAGTGATTTTAGAAATTATTCCATCATATGCATTAAAAAAAAACAACTTATTTTAATACCGTATCTTTATTTGGATATAAAATCTTTTCGAGGAATTGAAAAATGCAACAAAATTTAGGATGGAACACCCTAATTTTTTTTTGCATTTTTCAAAGTAAGCGAAGAAAGAATTTTTAGTCGGACGCCATCCTTGATCCATTTATAACAAAGCTTTTCGAAATATTCTTCCACTGTTTTAGACACCAGCTCTCGGACTGATATCCCTTGAAAATCGTTGTCGTAGTCGCAATTGTTTTATAATGTGTGTTTCGGGCAAATTTCGATTTAAATGGGTTCAAATTGGTAATGCTTTTAACACATTCTGGAATAATTTATTAACGAGACTCTCATCTCCGCACGCAAACATTTTCCCCTGTTATCAACTGCTGTGGGTTTTCAAACTCCTGAAATATATTTCTATTATGATTTACGCGTGTATATATTTTGTATATATTATTGTGTATATATTTTCCATGACTAACCCTACGTGTATACAGGGTCACCAAGAACTACCCCGGTGGACGGCGGATGCAGAACTGACCTAAAGCAACTACTGGTTTTGTTAGTAATTCCCTTAATTAGTAATGAAGACTGATGAAAAAAATAAACATTAGAATGAATAGTATATTATGCAACAATTTGACTTAAGAGTTTATTTGGCAAGAGTTTACCAAACGTGTTGCATTACTATACTTTTTCTACAACCGTCACGAAAAAATCGCAATTTAACTAATTGAAAATAATAACAGCTTATCGGATTACTAAATTTCGTACGATTCACACAAAATATTTACTAGTTGCCATTAAACTTATTCGTTTATCGTTCCGATCGGTTCTGGTATTGTTGTCTCCTTTTAACTGTGTACGTTATACAGAGAGAGAGATTTATTATTGGATGTGCCATATAAACGCAATTCTAAAACGTTATGTTGTTTATTTAACTTTTACAATTGATCATTAAGTAGTTTATTTAAACAAAAAGACTGTAATTGGTAGAAAAACCATCCAATGATAAAGCTTTTAAGAGGATTAAATTTTTAATATCGTATATGCAAGAAAAAGCACAGTAAACTTCAATTTTTGTTTTGGTTAGTTTTTGTATTAAGATCAATCATTACAAAGATGAGACATGGATATCTGAAAATGGTAAAATTGGTCTTGGCAAGATGTTAATAAAAAAACTGTAAAAACCACTAAAGTTCATGCCAACGGTATGTAAAATTTCTGTGGGAAACTTATAAATGTCACTTTATTTATCGAATAGTCCACTAGATTTTAATTGTAGCTTATAGCACATAGTATTTAAATTGTCTGATATATTGCATAACATTTTGCTGTGTATTAGTTTTTGGATACATTTATGCAAAACAACACGAATACATTCACTTTCATGACCGTCAGAATTGACGAACGTCAAAATTCAAACAGTGCGGTAAAATCTCCGAGAACATCCTATTGCTCCAAAACCCGTGCGGTAAAATCCCGGAAATGTCCGAAGTGGCTCGGATCCGTGGGAAACGAAACTGACGTGGCAAAGTGACGCTTCCCGCACGCTAGATCGGTGTGTAATTAGGTATTTTACAGACGGGAGTAGAAAACGTACATTTTGACTTGTTTCAGATCGATGAAGTTCGTGGAGCGGCACCTTGTATACGTGTTGGCCTCGGCCGTTCTCACAATCGACGATACCGTTAATCATTATCCGGTTGGCTTTATATGGAAATATTAATATTTTATCACAGGAATAATCTATTCGTTGATTTCTATTTTGCAAATAAAATTGACGCTTAGCTTTGACCACCGAGTTTTTTTAAACCGTAGTATTTAATTTCATTGGGTAATCTATGGAAAAAACGGGCCTTTCGGAGGCTACGTAACGACAACAATGCTTTAGTCTTCGATCGTATTCATCTTGGGGGACCAATCTCAGACGTCTACTCCGTCTGAATTTCAAGTAGAGAAAAATAGAGTTGGCGGCGCTCTTTTCGTATCTTACAATACGAAATTCCAGCTCGATAATATCCAGTATCGCGATTACATCTTCTATTCGGGGCCTGCAGTTTCCGCAATCTAGAGATCTATTTATTCGACATCATCGGTTTCAAAGCGATTCATACCACACACATGTTATTATGTATGACTATTAAAAGATAGTAATCTTTTTTTAGTTAACTAACTTATCTGGCGTAAAAAACACTTTAACACCATAACCTATCGCAAATTTGGTACGAGCTCAACTTTAATTTGTATATTAACAACATGGGCGAAAAAAACTTGCGAGATAGGGTCACACATTATCTTACCTGTTGAGCTTAATCCAATTTCCGCGGAATACAATTTTCTTAGATAGAAACTTTTACGGGCCAAGTCGTTGTGCTAGCAAATCCTGCGAAAACTGCTACGGACAAGAGTATTAGATAAACAAAGTCCTCACTCGTATAATTAATCCCAAAACGACGTTATGAAAGTGCTACACGTTAAGGCTTTTTGGGCCGTTCGTTCCACGGCTGGGAATATGCATTAATTACACAACCCCGTTCAGATTTGAGGTTGCCACGCAACCCATTTAATTAATGAAGCTTGGGATAAACACCATACGTGCGAGTCAAACAGCAATATAACTCTCTAGAAATACGTTTTAAGTAAATATTCGACGTAGTCTCTTATTTGTTTACATTGGTAATGTATTTTGGGTGGGCCTACATTAAATTTCATCTCAAGGTAAAAGTGATTTGCTAATGAGACCCGTTAACAAAGATGTCCAAATTTATTTGAAATTTTAATAAATGTTATTGCTAGTGAAAGAACGATGAACTACCTGTGCACTTTTTGGATATTACGTGAAGCATTCCAGTATTCCAAACTTAACGTTTATTATCCCGTTGTGCAATTAGCATTGTTGCGAAAACCGAGCACGTGCATCTAAGCAAATTTGAGCTGAGTATTACGCGAATTAAAAGTTAAATTTCAATTATCGCACGAAAGTAAGACGCCAAAATCCTCTCCGCAATCTTATCGGCTCGCCCAAGACTCGCATAAATGAATAAATTTTACTATATAAACTTTTGAGATGTAGTTTGTTGGCCTGACGAATTGCGGTCAAAATTAGACATTACAAATAAGTGCTGAGATTCGTTTAGCATTGATTTATGGGGTGCATGAAAGAGGAACACGTGTTTTTGCAAACAAGCTATAAATTTTACTCGCTGCTATTTACCTGAACTCGTTTGGGATGAATAGTGCCAGTATTTCATATCAAAATGGCGCCGATTTGTTACACGTCTCGTGTGGTTACGTTTCGCTTAACTTAAATTTAGGACAGGCTGCCTTTATTTCACTGATTAATTTAGGCCATACTTTATCGTTAATGATATTATTATGTAGTAGGGAGATGGGCTTCGTAGTAGGTAAAGTTGTGCTCGGAGAAAAATCTTACGGCGTCGGCAAAGCTGATTTAAATTCGAAAAGTTGAATTGGATCCCGCTTCTGAACGGGTTAAAATCAATCCGGTGCTATTTGGAGCGAGAACTAAACTGTATCCACGACTAAATTTAGAACTGGTTGACTATTCCCTCTGAATAAAACCTTTATTTCGCCCCGATAATGACGTTTAATGGACGACGCAGTTCATAATTCAACGGTTAGCTAAAAATCGTATTTCGGAGGACGGCAGCGCGTCGAATCTGTTCCGTAAATAGGATGATTTACAGCTTGAATTTGTGCGATGCACGGATAATAACGTTTCCGAATGAAATTAATGGGCTACACATGTCATACGCTACCCTACGATATCGTCGAATTCGGGATGCGTAAACTGTGACCCAGTTCCGAAATCGGCAGGCCTAAAGAATCGTTCGAACTGAATTTGCCAAACTTAGTTCCAAAAAGATCGATTTTAATATTGCTTTACACTTTTATCGCTTCATTTTTACCAAACCCGAACGTCGCATCGTTCGAACCTCAATCGCTACCTAATAATTTCCCTTTTTATCCGAAATAGGGACGTCTTAGATCATAAATCGGTTCTTCTAACTGTGATGCCGTAAAATGTGCGTGCCGTGAATGTTACGCTCCCGATGCCCGACAAGTGACGGTCGCCGAGTGAGACGTAAAAGTAAACTGTGAACGAACCATGATGAACAATGTGGGCGGCCTTCTCGAGATCGATAGAAATTTTGGTTGCATTCTTCGAATACTATTCTACAAGGTAAGCTGGTATGGTCTGGTCATAGATATAAGAAAGTGACCAATTTCTTTTGGGTGGTCATTAACATACAATGCAACATGATTATTACCTAAAGTTTCGGAATTTAAATTCAGATAAAATTGTGGTCCGTAATAGAAAATAATTTTATACCTACCTGTGTTTAATATTCTTTGGTTTCGTATACTACTTGGTTTAAGTTTATTAGTTCTTATTTTCTTCTTATTAGTTCTTATTTCGTGTGTAATACAGCGTGTGCGAATTATGCAAAATATGTGCGAGTCTAGTGTATCTCAGGAGATGCTTCCGCCCAAATGTAGAAAACACTATTCTATTGAGACTAAGGAAGTTATAAACAATGTTTATTTGACTCTCATTGAACGTCGTGCCAGCAAGCAAGCATCTTTAGAAGAAACGGTCACATTGACGAAAATTCCAACATCAACTGTATGGCAAATTGTGAATAATCCCATTTCAGCGAGGAAAAAAAGAAGCGATGCTGACAGTTATACGAGGAACAAAGCCTGCCTACATTAGATATCTTAATTAGGAGGCTTGAAAAAGATGAAACCGGTGTTAAATGTGGCAGAACTACCTTATGGAAGTGTTAATACATGGGTTTTAGATTTAAAAAAAAAATAACAAAACGCAAGTTTTAATAGAATCTTTTAGAATTCGGAAATGGCGCGGTTGACTCAACTGATAAGTATAAAATAAACACGCCATCAAAAAGAGGTAAAAGAATAACTATTTTGCATGCTGCCTCTAAAGATGGTTGGATTCCAAATAGACTTTCTCTGTCTGCTAAAAATATTAAAGATTCTTCTCTGGATTACCATGAAGGCACCACCGCTGATTGATTTGAAAGTTAGTTTAAAAACAAACTAGTTCCAAACATTTCTCCTAATAGCGTCATTGTAATGGACAATGCAAGTTATCACAGTAGACAGTTGACTAAAACCCCTTCCTCATGTGACACAAAAGCAACAATCCAAAACTACATGTATAATAACGACATTTATTTTCACGAAAGATTATACCAAAAAGCAATTAATTGAGGTTCTACAAAGCTTACACCTACAAAAGGAATACGTCTGTGATAATTATGAAAATTATGAAAATTATGAAATCTGCCATTCGTCGTAACAATATTTTTCCCCGCGTTAACTCCAATGTCCTCAAACTAATAGAAACCGAAGTTTCTAACATCCCTCCACAAAGTTGGGCAAATTTTGTTAAACATATAGAAAAAGCAGAACATTCGTATATCCATATTGCAAATAATATAGAACAAATAATAATTAGAACAGGCGATGATGGCGATAATGATACTGATATATTATGTGAATAATTTTAAGTAATTTAAGTAGGTAATAAAAATAATTTGTAATTTTATTTTACATTTAAACATAAATACATAAATAAATAAATAAATATTGTTTAGTATCTTGCCTAAAAAAAACCAAATAATAAAATACTAAGCAAAGTACGAACCTGTTCGGCCATATTTCATTCTTATAGCTTACCCGGGTCTTTCTTTAATTGTTATCAGTTAGTCACTTTCTTATATCTATGAACAGATTTTACCAAGTCAATTTTTCAAAGAAACTTCCACAATACTGTAATACTTTTTACAAATCTTCTGGATTCCTCCTGCGTCGGTTTTTACTGAGTCGAACTTTCGCCAATCCTCCTGTTAACTTCTTCAGAGCATGACTGAAACTGGCTCGCATTTTACTCTATACCTGCTTATATATTGTTTGAGTAGGACGGAGCAAAATGACGGACATAAACACCGTCTCGGATGACTGATTCCCGTATTGGTGACAGGTAGAGACCTGAGTCGCGGTTAAGATTGTTAGGTCGTTTATAGATTTTTCGTTGGTAGAAGAATTGATTACATTCAAGCATTTTAGTTTTATCGAATAAAATATTATGTCTTTCGTGTTTTTTGAGCCTAGTTGATATTTTTCGTCCGGTTTCTCCAATGTATTCTTTACCGCATAAGCATGGAATGCTGTAAACTCCTGGCATCTCAAATGGAATTTTATCTTGGACGGACCGAAGATGTTGAGAGATTTCCGGACAAGTGGTAAATCTGGTTTTGACGTTATACTTCTTTAGAACCTTTGATTTGTGGTCAGTGATATTTTGAATGTAAGGAAGAACTACAATGGCAAGTGTAGGATTGCTTTCTGCCTCATTGGTATTGGAAGGTTGTGGTGAAGTTTACTTTTTGATTGTACGCTTAATATCTTTAAGCAAGAACCGATGCAGGAGCAATCCAGAAGATTTGTAAAAAGTTCTACTAAGTCGTTGAACTTATAAGGTTTATTTATCGCACAAATTAAAAAAGGATATAATATAAAGGAGTATACAAGTCTGCCTAAATTTCGAGATGATTTAGTATATGGCACACTAATATTCTGAATGTTCAATGCTAGCATTACCCTAGCATACAGCGAAACAGACGTTTTAGAAACATTAATTTACAAATTTTGTTTTGATTTTTTTTTATTTATGATTGCGTTAGCGCAATCTTGTTCCTAAGGCTCGAAAAACAATTAGACCTTTGTAGTATTTGCATACAGATGCACTAAGCAGTGCACACCGCGCTTAACCTCCACGTACTGTTGTCTCTTGTGTAGTCTAAATCAATTCAACAGCTGCTTTAGAAAATCTGACAAAGTGGAGGATAGCTAGCAGTAAAATAAGCGACTTTCCCAGAATCAGAAGATCTAGTAATATCGTTCGTAATCTGGAACTAAACAGTAGTGCAGCTAAACCCTTTTCTAAAATGCGACTGAGAATTTTATTAAATAACTAGTCACGAGAAAACAGAAAATTCCAACTCACTTCTGACTTTCCTAGCACGAAAAATCCCGAATGTTCCTAAAATTTAATGCCGGATCGTTGTTTTCGCGCAATCCGGTTGGGCACTGCATCATTGTTTTCGTCCGCGCGACAATGACGTATTATGTGCGCGAACAAAAGCATCGCGGGAAGTTGGTCGCAGTTTCTTCGGACCGAGTTTGACCCACTTAATGATCCCCGCTGCAAACTTTTTGATTTAACCGAGTGTTCGCCAATATCCGAGGTGTCAAATCGATTAATTGGGTCCCAAGTTCAATGGCGAACGTTTCGCATTGTTGGTGCGACGCAGTGACAACTCGAAAAATATACATTTTGGTCTCCTAACCGAAACAACTCAATTTATTGGTTTAATGTTACAATCTCCCGAAACTCTAACTATTAATTTTGAGTGACTAACACTGAGAACGATATTTAATTTCGTCCAACGGACGGTGCGGAGTGGCAAGATTTTTAAAAAAAGAGGCTGATTTGTTTAATAAAACGGGGGTATAAACGCAAATCTCCCGCGCGACTCCAAAGTCACCCGACGACCGTCGAAAGATTGATGACGGCCATTTTCAAAAGAACTGGCCTGGTCGATCCGCTGCCATTGTCGAGCCCCAACTGTTTTCCTTTTAATTTTTTTTCAAGTCACGTTGAACGACGCATAATGCTAATGGACAAGCAATCAATTATGCGATTAACAATGGACCATACAATAGATGTATATCGATCACTCCACATCAAGCTGGCAGTTTAAAGTTTGGACTGAAAATTACTGTTTTAACTTACGGATTTGTAATCGTCATTCGAATCGACATTGACCGTATGCGCCCTGAAGTAAATTATTTATTATGATTATTAACATTTCAAATCTACCTGAAAAGAAGAATCGTCTTCTCTTGATATCTTCTTACCATCTTCTGGCTGACTATCCGAAAATATCGGCAAGATGCGGACAGCTTCTGTTGACCAAAGCAAAATGACAAAGCAAAAAGTTGAAAGAACCGAGGAGGGAACAATCGAAACGTCAAGACGGAACGTCTCGACGGGACAAAACGAAACGTCTAATTGCAACTTGCATTCTGGCCCGTCGTTCTATTGTTTGTTTTCTCGTGCGACAATAGAAAATGATTTTAGAGGTTTTTGCGATCCGACTTTGATATCGCGCGGAAACGTCTAAAACTTTATCCCCCAGCGCACGAAACGGTCGATGCCATCAAAATCGTAAGAGCGTGGTTTTCTTTTTTTTTGTTATTTTTATTTTACGATTCGCATTTTATTAAACGCATTAACGACGGTTGTGCAATGCGGCTTCCATGTAAAAGCTTTTATACGGCGCCCTTCGCATATTTCACCGCAAGATAAGCCTGCGAAAACCAATTGCATAGCGACAACCGTAATTTTCTACATAGTTGAAGATTTAATATCGCTATAGAGCAAATCGTATCATAGTTGCTCATTGGTACTGAGTAAATAATCCAATGATGGTTTATCAAAAAACGCCATAATGACTAAGCGTTCCGAAATACATACGACTTGAGTACATATAAAACGTCTTGTTTCTATGAAGCAACGAATTTTTGAGACTGAATGTTAATTAAACGTTCGAAACTTTCGACGAAGTTACGTTATTAGCGGCATTCCGTAACATTTTATGACAACGCAGAAATTTGCGACAAATGGCCTATAAAACGTTTACGACTGATCCCGCGCATCAGTGTTCCGAATTAAGGAGCGCAACAGGCAACCGAAAACTTTTGTTTCATACTTGGGAATTAGAAACTAGATTGTCCTCCCCATCAGACTCGGTCCTCATTAAACATCCTATCCAATCTTATTCAGATCCTCAAGTTTTGGCCCCCAGTTTCTTCTTCTGCATGGTCCTTTCCATCGCCGGGCGCCTGTCTAGTATGTACTCTGCTGTTTCGGTATCTTGTAAACACAACAACCCATAATATACTAGAATTTTTCGATTTAGTCTGTTCATTGACAATAGCATGGATTTTATCACTGTCTGCATCTTCAATATGTGGCGCTCCTTTCTGGCTAGAAGATGCCTTTTTCGTTACATTCCAGATCATATTACTGGCAAATAACATAGAAGATTTACAGTATCTGCTGAACAGATCCCAGATGCTTCTGTTTCATTTTGTGTTCAAGTCCAAGAAATGGGAGAGATATTGATACCAAATTGAACTTAAAAATCATTAAATCATATTGCTGATGCATACAATCATTAGAATTACCTATAACGTCAGAAATCTCGACCACGCACTGCCTATTTTCAAGTTTAATGGCGTTTCCGGACTTCGGTTATCGGAATCTTCTATTTTATCAATCGCCTTGGTTATCACTTATTAAAGGACGAAATTTTAATATCCGCAAAACGCAATATAGACAAATTATTTACAAAAAAGTTTTTCTTTTAATTCCTGATCGGTATCCGCAAAAGTTCAAAGAGAAGCAGAAAATTGCTTATCGAAAATAAAATTCAAGCTTTTTGTAAACAAGTACGTAAGTGATTTGTTAGGTGGTAATAAAATTAGACAAACAAATATTAATGAATTCGTCCCAGACAAGTGTATTCAGTTTAAAGTATAATTTATATTTTCCATCAAATTTTCGCTTTGACGGCGTTTTCGAAAAGTCTGCGGCGACCAAATGAGATTGTCGCGTGTAACAGCGTGCGGTCGTTATCGCCATTGCAATATGGCAGTCGTAAAATAACAATGTTAAACGTGAAATGAAACTTTGCATTTCAAGCCTAACAAACAGGTGAGGCCGATATCAGGGAGCTTCGACAATTCTCTTCGGTCTGCTACGGAATCGCATACCGTTTCCGGACAAAGACATGCGACACGCCTGACAAAGACCTCACGAGGTACGAGTTTAATCTCGACATTTTAGCATACGAACGATTTCGTTATTATATCGGCGCTTGCGCCATTTCAACGATTAAAAGAAATGTATTTTTCCCAGAATATTGTAACGAAGAATTTGTTTAAACTATTCTGAATAATACCACTTCCTAATTTATAAGATGGTTTTTAAAATATTGTCTTTAATTTGTATACAAATATTTTTTTGTTTCTGTATCTGTCTTATAAGTTTTATACACATTTTTTCTTTCTCTTTTGTTTTTTCACAAGAAAGCTTTGTAATGGGTATTTATATAGTTAATGCTTTATCCTTTAGAAGATACTGTCGTGGATTTATCTTGTTTGCGCCGCACACGTCTCGCGTTGCCGTTGTCAGACACACCTTTCCTAATTAAAACAATTGAATTAAAAGCGGATTATCATCGTAACTAATACCGTTTTTCTTTTGCATTGCTTGCTCGTTTTCCGCTGCTGTCCGTTGGATCCGGTCCAAAACAGAGCTCAGTTAGAGTAAGTATATTGTTATCGTCTCGTCTTAGTGTTTAATTTTGCACGTCCGACCTTTTTTTTTGCAGGACGACAGGAAGTCCGCAGGCCAAATCGCCGGCGGGAAGCAGCGGCGGCGCCTTAGTACCTTCCGAAGCGAAAACACCCACCGCTCCTGCGAACAAAGCCCTTCAGAATGTCAAGGGCGAGCACCCGTCGGTAAGCCAGGATGTAAGCATGATCATTGTTCTTTCTATGTAGCTGTTAAGCGTACGGAATGCCTTCTGTTCGATGTGGCGGCCGCTTGACGTCTCATGATAACGCGATTTAAATTGAATTATACAGGGTGTCTTGTCGTAAAATATACAGAGTAGCTCGCTACTGCGAGATTCTTTTATGTGTCCGTTACAGGTTCTTTTATCGAAAAATTTTAAATGCAAAAGTTGTTTGGAGGGATATGTTGCAGGCATTGAAAATAATTTCTATTGTACAAGGTTGATGAAAACACAGGGTTTTCAAAATTTTCGAATCAATTATATTATTTACAGCGTCGTTTTACCTATTGATAAATGACAATTAACAATTTCGCAAGTGATTCATTTCGAACAGGTTGTCTAAAATTTGTTTTCAGATTACATTATATCCAAAGTTATATTTTCCTATTATAAATGAGACCACTGTTTATAATCCGAAGGTAAACGAAATCATTGAAATAATTGCTTCTATATGACTTTTTTTTTAATTTAAACGCTTAATACACTTTAGTATTATTTGCGTAGTGAATATTCGTGCGTCAGGATTTAAAGGAGTAAAAGCATCGTAAACACAATTCAGTAATTCATTTCTATTTCGTCCAGGGCGAGAAACGCACTAGCTCGATTATACAGCCACGGACACGAAAATCCAAGAGCTACCAATCTGGTGATCTGAATGGCCAGTTACAGATTTTCTTAACTATTTTGCAGTCAATCTAGTTGAATGTAAAATTAGATTGTATCTCACACCATAAAATAACACAGGATGTTGCATTTTTGATGTAAGTAGTACAGTGATACCGGTTCTAAGCCACTTTTGGCGGGAAATTTTGAATTGGTTGTTGAATTTTCGACACCGATTAAAAATAATCAAATGACACAGCGTTTAAAACAATGTTACATCTTTCAAAATGTTTATGTTTATCAAGATATTTAATTGCTAAATGAAATGAAATAATTAACAGAGTATTCCATTTCAAATAAGTAAATTGGGTACTGTGGGATACTTATAAGAAACCCTGTCACTGATTTTCATTGCATACCGCATATTCATTCACACAACGTCTACGTTAAAAATGTATACAAGCGCTAATAGGTTAACAGTTTCTCCAAATTTGAAAATCTTTTCAGTCGTCTTCTTTTGCCCATTCGGGTAATAAAATGTTGACTATACTTTGCACGCCTACTTGGCCGTCCTGTATATATACGGCGCGCCGAAGTTTCTCGGAAACGACCGGTCCGGAAACTTTTTTATCGGCACCGCCCAAGACTTAATAAATATTTACCGAAGTGGAACTTTTAAATTAAGTTACGCCTTTTTCTGTGTTCTTTTCCCCCTCCCGGGGGTTGATGCGTTTCATCTAAAACGAAAAGGACCGACCCGCCGTGGCAGCAACATCGCCGGGAAAAAGCGTACCGTGCCTAACGCCCGGGTTTGGTTACCCTCAGGACGCCCGAGGGCTTAAGGTGTTTGGTTTGTTCAACCCTTGGCACCTTCTTAAGCAGAGAAGGCTAAAGGAACTGAATCAAACGTAATCGTTGCCGGCTCCTGCGGCTGACGACGGGATAGTAGCAGGGAAGCTCCGCTTTGTGTGTCTAACAAGGGAGAAGCGCCTCGGGAAAGTGTCCTTGTCGCAAAACGAGCCGGCATATAAACGAGCTTATTGGGATGCGTTCTGAGTGATTAAGGCCTGTCTTATCAGGCTGTTTTGAGCTTGAATATATAATCATATCGGCGCTTCCGTAAGGGGAAAATTCGAGTTGATAATTTCGGAGGATGTCCGTTTTCGAAAAGCTCTAAGTAATTGTCATTCACGTCAATTCTCACTTGCGTGTTATTAATTTTTGTTTGTTTGTTATGTCGCCTAAGGAAAGTCACTTTATTTTATGTTTAATTGACATACTTATGTTACACTTACTTTCCTACAGTTTTGAATCATTTAATTTAAATGCTCGATACGTAGTCTCAGCAAAGTACACAATGGCACCAACTCATTGATCTGAGTCCAATCATTTAGCGAAAAGTTCCGCTAATCGTTTTTTCACTTTGGAAGGCTCTGGAAACCGAATGGTAAAAGACTAAAAAGGCATATAGTTCGCAAGCCATCCATGAGAAGAGAGTTCAACACTACCCACTCATTTTGTGAAGTTGCGCCCATTATGCTCCTTAAGTTAGGATCCCAACGACTTTAGTGTTTTAACCACAGGTAACTTTAGAAGTCTCGCCTATGCCGATAAAAGAGGAACTTGTGAAGCAACTATAAAAAAAGTTTTGAGAAGGCTCATTCAACATGCGCACGCGCAAGATTTGAAATCTTCTATTAAGCCAATGATTTTGAAATCATTGAAACTCATCGTGGGTCCGATGGTCAATCAGAATCCCTACAATCAAGAGAAGCAGTGTTACTTGTACGCGACCTGACGATGCTGCATCGGATGCTTGATTTTCTAGAAATACCACAGATTCAGATGTATCCCTGAACAAGGAAGACGAACTAAAGGCTTTTTCCAAATAAGTGTTTATTATTCACATGAAATGAGAATTTTTTTGTAGGCGGATTTCATCAAAACAATTTTGTTTTCTTTTGAAGTTGTGGGTTTATTGTGACTATGTGTGGCATAGAATTACAAGCAACATATCATTCTTTGGAGATCTACACAATGCTTACATGGGCTGGCCATATTAAAGGTCTGTGAATCCCACATGCTTTATAATAACATTCATGTAAGTTTTGTAGTAAGTCAGCAGCGTATTGATATTAAATAAATAAAAAAAGCAGGTCTACAATGGATTTTCTAACAATAATTGTTTTATTATTCTTTTAAATTTGACGTGTGGCGACTGGATATTATTATTCTTCTGAATTGTCGTCAGCATGAAAAAGAGGAGAGCGATAGCGGCAATAGGAAAACACTCCCGTATTACTCAGCTCTCCGCACCATCAGGAAGCAGAATGCCGTAACCATTGAATAGTCTGTGGGAAGAACGTTAATAAACAACACGGGTCCGAGAATCAACCCTTGCGGAAAATCATACATTGGTAATACATCCTCACTTGTTCTGCAATTGCACTCGATATATCGAAAATAACGCTATGTAAGAATGACACTTCAAGAGAGTTGCAGAAAGTCATTACTAAATGCTAGAATTTTCGTTCTCAGACGTGACAGAGGCGCAGTGGGAGGAGTCGCGCCCGAGTTTCATCGTCTATCTCCCTCTTTGAAAAATTCATTTTTGCCGCTTCGGCGTTTCGCGTTTTCGCATTAATCGGGGATCGTATTTTTGATAAATTCCCGGTTTATTAAGCGACTCCGGCATAGCTGAATTTTAGCGAAGCGATTTATCACCGCGTCGCGCGAGATACAAATCGCCGAGTTAACGGGCCCGGACGTTTCTTAAATCATTTCCGGATTCGTCTCCGTAAGCCCGATTTCTGATCCGGAACGAATGTTTTTGCCCGTTTCAAAAATTAACCGCAACGCTGTGCTCGAGATAACCGAATAAAGAAAACACATTATCAGAATAAGACGAATCATCTTCCTCCTTAATGAAAAATGCAAAAGATGTTTTTCTTTTTCCCTTTCCTATTTGGCCACCGTTTATTATATCTTATCTAAGAACCTGTCAAAAATATAAAGAAAAGCTACAGGCAAAAAATATTTCAATTCAACATATTAAGAGGTTTATTTTTTTATTTACCGAAACTTTATAGTCATATTTCATGTTCATATTCAATTTGAAAATGTGAAACTAGCGGAACCTTCTAAAATACATGAAAAATATTTTGATTTACAAATCTCGTTCACATATCTTGTTGAAAGCTTCTTAGATTACACCTTTCACGTAAATTTTACTTTAGCGCATAAAAAGATCCCTAACTTTCTAGATGTACGGCAATAGTCTCAAAACGTATTTCGATTAACTAAGCAGCAGTCCGAACAAGAATCTGCCACTGGCACTTACCCATCTTTTCGATTCGCTTTGTATAATATCGTATACCTCTAAGCCTTTCCACCTCAGACATACTTAAAATTTCAAAAAGGCCCTAATATGCAGAAACGTTTATTTCTGGATTCCTCCTGCGTCGGTTTTTGCTGAGTCGAAATTGCTTTTCGTTTCGCCAATCATTCTGTCGGCTTCTTCAGAGCTTGACTGAAACTGGCTGGTATTTTACTCTGTACCTGCTTATATATTTTTTGAGGGGGGCGCTAATGAGGGGCATAACCACCGTCTCGGATGACTGATTCCCAAATTGGCGACAGGTAGAGACCTGAGTCGCGGTTAAGATTGTTAGGTTTATAGATTTCTATAGACTCTCGGATTTTTCGTTGGTAGAAGAACTGATTACATGCAAAAATTTTAGTTTTATCGAATAAAATTTTATGTCCGGTTTCCTGAGTGTGTTCGGCAACAGCTGATGAGTTTATTTGTCTTACTCGTAAGGCTCTTTCGTGTTCTTTGAGCCTAATTGATGGGATATTTTAAGAAAATTGGGGATAACGTTATGGTCTCTAAAACGTTGTTACGTCACAACTTCATCCGCTTGTAAAATTCGAAAATCTAGTTTCGCTTTACTTCGAGAAAGAATTCATCATACCTGTAAGGAAATAGACCAAATCAATGAGGCTCCTCTGTTTCTCCACCTTGAAATTCTTACTTCATTCTTCATTCTTCTACGTTGTTCATTTATCTACTACCCAAAATCACATTCATAAATTTGAAAAACCAACGTCAACACTAGGAAAACCATCAAACTCTTCTAAACTACCAAACACTGTAATAAATGTATCATCGCACCAACTTTCGGAAACTGAAAAATGAGTTCTTTCAAAAGGTTCCAACTTCGTCCTTGCGCCACGTATTATCCCAAAAGAGGAAATAATTTCAAATGTCGAGTCTATCCTAAAGAAACTGCCATCTCAAACAGCTAATTCTATTTGAAACCGCAAAAATCCTTAAAAAATCAAAACCTCCTAAATCCAATATTGCAATGCCTGAACGCATCGCCCTAAAATCTCTAAAAGCCAATCCAGACATCGTAATCCTAAAGGCAGATAAAGGAAATGCTACGGTGGTCATGGACACAAATGAATATCAAGAAAAGATTCCAGATATTCTTACAGACGGATCATATCGTCAACTTCCTACGTCATCTATGGATCGCAACCTTAAATCTGTTATTAAGACTTCTTCTCTATCAGACTCCTTGAAAAAATTTGTTACCCCTCACGACTCTAAAATTCCTTGTCTCTAAGGACTCCCAAAGATTCGCAAACCAGGATTACCCATTTCGCCTATTGTCAGCACCATTAGATCTCCAACATATTCTCTTCCTTATTAAAACCCCTTACAGGGAAAACTGACAGTTTCATACTTAATTCCTTTCACTTCATTGAACAATTAAAAAGCATTACATTAGATACACCAAAGTTTCAAAGTTCCTATTCCTGAAACTCTCGACATCATTTCAGATATATTAAAATTCGAGAATCTGGAACCAAACCTTCTCACCTTAATTGAAAAATACTTATCGGGAACATATTTTTCTTATAACGGTCAAATTTTTGAACAAACGTCGGGAACAGCTATGGGTTCTCCACTATTACCAGTCATCGCGAATATATTTATGGAAGCCTTTGAGAAGAAAGCTCTCGATACCTTTCATCTAAAACCACCATTATGGAAACGCTACGTCGATGATGCTTTTGTTATTTGGCCTCATGGTCAAGAAATCCTAGTAGATTTTCTTAGACATTTAAACTCGATACACCCTAACATACATTTTAACATTGAGTTGGAAGTTAATAATAACCTTCCATTCTTAGATATTCTTATCAATAGAAAATCAGACCTAACATTGGCTCATTGTGTTTACAGAAAACCTTCGCACCATCGGTTATCAACTTTCTTGTTTACAGAGCCGTAAAACTATCTCAGCCCGAGTCACTGAAAACAGAAATAATATACCTTACCTCTGCTCTCTAATAATTTCCACATTAAAGATATTAAGCGTTCCATTACGACTAAGACAAATAAACTCATCAGCTGTTGCCGAACACACTCAGCAAACCGGACATAAAATTTTATTCGATAAAACTAAAATTCTTGCATATAATCAGTTCTGCTACCAAAGAAAATTCCGAGAGTCTATAGAAATCTATAAACAACCTAACAATCTTAGCCGCTGCTCAGGTCTGTACCTGTCACCAAATTGGAAATCAGTCATCCGAGACGGTGTTTATGTCCCCCCTCATTAGCATCCCCCTCAAACACATATATAAGCAAGTACAGAGTAAAATGCTTCAGTCAAGCTCTGAAGAAGCCAACAGGATGATTGGCGAAACGTCAGCAATTTCGACTCAGCAAAAACAGACGCAGGAGGAATCCAAAAGTTTTGTAAAAAGTATTATAGAAGCCTGTGGAAGTTTCTTTGAAAAATTAAGATAATATTATATTAAAAGTATAAGCGAATTCAAACAAATTTGTCTGTATTTTTTTTTTTCATATCAAGCTCTGAGATAAGGTGTCACCCTATTCCTACGTTAACACCATATATAAACGTAACTCTAATGTAAATTGACGGATTGCTCTTGATGTCGCATTAAAATTGACTCGATGTTGTCTGCGTTAATTAACAGTAAATATGTCTGATCTGTTCTGTATATGAGTACTAATGAATGGTACTGTTGTTGATGTGTAATGTGCAATGGTGTACAGTCGATGTTATGTGTTTAGTAGGTGTTAATTGTCTTTGGGTGTGTCGATGTTGTTATCGTTATGTGAGTGTACAGAGGGTTAGCAATTAACAACGGCGATAGTCCGGAAGCCCTTATGGACCTGTAGATCGTAGAGTTATTACAGAGACTAAGTTAGAGACTATACATATATTGAAACGCCAGAGTAATGAGTCAAATAATCTAGAATATAACATGAATGAGTTTCATTAAAAATTTAGTGAATATAATTATTGGGAGTGTGGAAATGTACTTATTAAAGATATGTAGGTAATGCAAATTTAAGGTTTGATGATCACTGATTATCTGACAAACGTTTACCTTTACTTATTCCCCTTATTCGGCAGTATTAAATGTTCCCTCTTTCGTCGAACATCAACGTCGTATAATTTAATTATCCCCGATTGGTCCGTGCTACAAGCTGGTGCCGACTATTATCATAAAGCAGAATCGTGAGAAGAATTCTCAGCGTGGTAAACAAAAGCGATTAAAACTTGGGAAATGAACATAATTTTCTTTAACGAGAATTCGGGGTTCTAAACGCAGGTAAACACGCCAAGGAATAGCGAACCCATAAAAGACCAGACGCGTCTGCTAGCAGTTAAGGCGACGCATCTGCTTTCAAATAGCTTTTTTTGTTGCGTCGGCATACGCTCATGGAGCAAATTGTGTGGACTTGCTTAATATGTATATCTCTCTCCTCGCTTAATGCATCTTTTAAACTCCCAATTTCCTGATTTCGTTGAAATAATGACGTCTCAGTCAGAGTTTAGTTTGGTTACGAGATTTTCGCTACCTAATTGGCATATTCTGTCACAGTAGAGACTTAGATGCGGCGAGAACATATATTCTCAACAGTAGGGTTTGAGAAAAATGGAGAAATTAAATTCAAGGGTGAGTAAAATGAAAGTAGAAAAGTGAATAATTAATTAAATAAAGTTGTAGAATTGGTTTTTGACAAAAGAAAAGAAGAAATAGTTAAAATTGATTACTGCCAATTTGAAACGAATTAAATATTTCGGGAACAAATGAGAATCATACCCGGGCAAGATGTAAACGGTTGTGTGATTGTGTGTATTGTTTTGCTTTTCCAGATGGCATTCCTGCAGAGCCGGTCGATATCGCTGGTGGACATGTACATTGACAACTCTGAACCGTCAGAAAATGTCGGTCAGATTCATTTCTCCTTGGAGTACGACTTCCAAAACACGACTCTTATCCTTAGAATAATACAGGTAAATGCGGGTAGTTCCGTAAGCACGCTGATCTAGCTTATGCGACAAAATCTACATAAAATCTCTAGACGCTAGGTGGAAGAAAGTTTGAATCGCAGAACTGTTCGACCATCCGCTGCCAAGGCGCAACTTTTATATTGTATCGACGTTCGCGAACTTGTCTCGTTTAAGTTAAAAGTTTTTGACACTGTTTCGTTTAACCCGGCAAATTTTTATTAGAATTTTTTTTTGCACATATATTCGAATTCAGTTCCATTACCGTTATCTTTAATTTTCTGCCAAGAAAACCGGGACGCGTCAAATCTTTTAAACGGAATTTATAAGTTTACCCCGGCCAAAATTAAACGGGGTTTTTGTGGGTCAATTTATGGCTGCCGGGCCCCTATCTGCGTTATACTTTATAGGTTCAAGGATATTGGATTTACATTCGCGTCGAACCCTTCTCTTGGATGATTTATAAATTTGGGCTCGATCCTGTATTATAAATCTGAAATAAAATATATATTTTTTAACAATTATCAATCCACAACCGCCGAAATTATGTTCTTTAGTTAAATTACATAAACAAGATTTGCCCATTAGACCAGCCGTGTCTTATGTAACGGCTCCAGCAGTTAGTAAATATTTTAAAGTTCCTCACAGATTTTAAACCAAAATTTGCAATAAAAAATTCTTTTGAATTAGTCAATAAATAAAGACATCAAAATCCCTTCTAGCGCAACACTACTGTCTTTTGATGTACAAAACTTATTTCCCAGTAATCCATCTATGGATGTGATAGGTTTAGTAGATTTCACCCTCACTCGGAAACAGGTTAACCCATTAGTGGAACAAGATTTATTAGATTGCTTAATAGTATCTTTAGACCAATATTATTTTGAATTTAATGGGCAGATTTATATCTCTAAAGAAGGTTTGATTATGGGAAACCCACTTAGTCCTTTGTTAGCCGAGATTTTTATGGATAATTTGGAAAATATCATACTAGAACATCCTTTAAGTAAAAGTTTTTTATGGTGGTATAGATATGCGGACGATGTCTTTGCTTGCTTTGTGGGAACGGACAGACAATTGAATTTTTTTTTAAATTACATTAACTGTAAACATAATCGTATGAAATTCACTATCGAGATTGAACAAAATAACTCTTAAATCTTAAGACTTAACTATTACGAAAGTGCAAAACAAATTAGATTTTTCAATATATCATAAACCTTCACACACGGACACAGTCATACATAACAGCTCAAATCACCCTTATACACACAAAATGGCTGCATTTAACTCTTTTATACACAGATTTCTAAATACGCCACTCTCAACAGAAAATTACAACAAAGACCTTAATATCATCAAACAAATTGCACTGAACAAAGGCTAAAATAAAAAACGAATACAGACAACAGTAAACTCTATTTATCCGAAAGCTAATACAGAACACGAACAATTTCAAACAATTACATACATAGGAGAACCTAGTGAAAAAGTTTCAAAACATTTGTCAAAATGTGGTTTAAAAATAGCTTTCAGAACTAACAACATAATAGGAAATTATTTAAAAAACACTAAATCGAAATTTCCAAAATCCCAAAAATCAGGTGTCTACCGGTTGCAATGGGGATCTTGTCCTAAAATTTATATTGGACAAACAGGTAGATCCTTCAACAAACGCATTAACGAACATATAAGAGCTTTTAAAAACAATAGTCTAGATTCTAATTATGCTACACACTTAAACACAGAAAAACAGATTTTTGACGACAATTTTGATATTTTACATACAGCCACAAAAAGTATAAAATTAAATTTATTGGAAGCCATTGAGATTAACAAAATGAGACATTCAAATTGCTTAACGATCAATTAGATTTAAATACCTCTCCTTTATTGAACTTAAATTCTCACAACAACATTAATTAAGGTTTTATGGTCATTTTTCGGTATATATAGCAGCAGGTAGTTGTCGAAACAATTGTCATGTCAAAATATATAATTTCGTAAAAATCTGAACTTTTAGTTCTTATTTATTTTGAAATAAAATATATCTCTTGGAAATTTTAAATTTAACGGACATCATACATTAATATGAAACAAAGTAGTGAAGAAAGAAACAAAGTAGGGGATCAAGTAATAATGGGAAATGAGCAAGACGCTTCTTTGCAAACTATGGATAAACTGCCGATATTTTATATGTAAATAAAAAACTTATGTCAGGTGTGGTGCAGGTGTTGTTTTTCATATATATGTTTCGGCTAGGTTAATCTTTATAACAAATGCAATTGCCACCTAATGCGTCCGAAAGGAAAATTTTTATAGTACCCCATATATTTTATTAATATTAAAATGATTAAATTCTCTCTAATTTGACCAAAGGGTCCTCTGTCCGCCAGTAATAAAAACCCGGCCATTCCAAGTTACGTTAAGCATATAAATTCCTAAGAGTTACGTGGCCGCAATTTGCCACGACGGCCAAGAGGTTGATTTATGATAATTTTCATAATTTAAAAAGAAGATCCTTTTTCTACTCGGTGATTAATGAATGCGCATTCTAGGGTAAAGACTTACCGGCAAAAGATTTGTCGGGCACCAGCGATCCTTACGTGAGGGTGACCCTGCTGCCCGACAAGAAACACCGACTCGAGACAAAGATTAAGCGGAGAACGCTGAACCCGAGATGGAACGAAACCTTTTACTTCGAAGGCTTCCCCATACAGAAGCTCCAATCGCGGGTGTTGCATCTGCACGTGTTCGACTACGACAGATTTTCCAGGGACGACTCCATAGGGGAGGTATTCCTGCCCTTGTGCCAGGTATGCATTTTTTCTTCTCAAAAAAGTTTTCTCTAAATGTAAATATACTTTATCTACTGTTTGAGTTACGTAGTAAGACATCCTTGTTGATGATAATACGAGCCCCAACAACTAAATGTTTATGTTTTTTTGCTTTGTCACATTACGATAGCGCAGAAAGTGCTATGGTAATGAATTATTTTTTATTTCGCATGAATTACATATCAAAATAACGGAAACATACCAAATTTGCTGACAAATAAATATTCGGGCGCGAATGTTCATTGACCAAGAAATCAATGCTACCCATACATTGATGGTAAAATGTAGTGTGCTTAGATAAATGAGATGTCAGTTCGGGTTGTCTTTCAAGTTTGTATAATAGTTGATAAGAAAATGACGCATGGTGTTGCAACAAACAAAAAAGTGCGAGAAATTATCATATCTCAATACTGCAGAGGTAAATCAATGCAAAAAATTTCAAATGACTTGAGTATTGCAAAATCAACAGTCGGGGATACTATAAAAAAGTATGGAGAGACAGCTAGTGTTAGCGTTCGTGGCAAAAGTTCAGGCCAACCCCGTAAAATCACTGAAAGAGATCGTCGTATTCTGGTCAAGATTTGCAAAACTAGCAGACGAAGCATCTTACGACAAATTCAAGCCCAATGGAATCACGAGGCGAACTTCAATGTCTCTAGGGAATATTGTAGACAATGGATGCATAAGTCTGGTTTGAGTAAGGTAAGTTTACAATTTTTCCTGTTTCAATATAAAAATTATTAATATTCTATTATCTACTTTTGTTAGAGGCAAAGGAAAAACCATTATTAACGTCTATTCAGAAGAAAATACGTTTGGATTGGGCAATATCTAAAATATCCTGGACAACGGAAACGTGGAGTAACGTTATCTTCAGCGACGAATCAAAATTTGATGTGTGTGTAGGCGATTTTCGAAAAAGGATGATTCGTACACAATAGAAGCCTTTCACAAAGATTGTCTAAAGCGCACTTTAAAATTTCCCCAGGGTGTTATGATATGGGGTGTATGAGTGGTAAAGGGGTTGGCAACTACGAGTTCATTGATGGTACTGTAAATGCAGAAAAATACCAACAAATTTTATCAAGAAGTTTGACTCCATCAATAGAACGAACTTTTGGAAATGAAAATTTTATAATTCAACATACTGCGAAAACAACAAAAAAGTGGTTTGGGGACCATAATATGAAAGTTTTATCATGGCGATCAAGTAGCCCCGACTATTATTGAAACTTTATAGCATCGGATGAAAAAATGGAACACTTTCACCCCCCGAATATTGCAAGACTTTGGTAGATTCCATGCCAAATCGCATAAAAGCTGTTATTGGCGCGAAAGGTGGTTGGTACTTCTTATTAATGTTCGATTGAAAGTAAAAGGTTTAAATGCGTCCGAATATTTATTTGTCAGCAAATTCGGTATGGTTTTGATATTTTGTTAGCTAATTTTTGTGAAATAAAAAAATAATTCATAAAAAAAATCAATTTAAAATAAGTGTAAATATGTTTTCTTATTATTTCGTGCATCGTTCGAACAATTAGTTGTTAGGGCTCGTACATGAAGGGTAGTTTCTCGAAAGTTAAAAGCAGGGTTTGCAGCGCTGCTTGAAGGATTTGTTTGGTAAATTTTCACCCCGTGTATTTTATTTCCTACAATTGTCTTGCTTTCCTTCGAGGTGTCAGCGTAACCATTAGCTAGATTTTTCGCGAAAGCAGGATACAGTGTAAGCTTCTGAATTTGGCAAGTTGCTGGTTGCTTTATGGGTATGCCTTGCACTCATCTGCTGAGCTGAATGTTTTGTATTGTCGTATGACGTCGATCTGCGACACTTCTAGAAGTAAAACAAAATCTGGGGGTCTGGTATTAATTCGTTCGGTCAATTTATTCTTTGAATTGTACAGTTCTAATGATGTTATCACTTTCACTATAATTTACCCTATTTCTTCTTTTGTAAAGACTACACTTTGGCTTGTATCTTTCGGATTTTTTAAAGCCTGTAGCTGAACGAAGAGTTTTGTGTCGTCGGTTTATACTTTCGGCACTTCCAGAAGTTAAAAAAAATCGGGAAATCTTCATTCATTCATATTCATTCAAAAATGGCAATTTCTTCTTTTGCCTTGCATTCTTCTGATTCTTTAAAAAAAAATAACTTGTAGCCGGGCAAGGTGTCAAAATATACTAGAAATACTTTTTTAGTAATTAGTTTTGGATTTTTTTTTTGGCGGCACTAGGTGGTAAAACGATAATAAATCTTTTAGCATTTTCCATAGACTTTTCTGAAAGAAGTGCCGACATAGCAATCTGCTCAATTTCTTCTTCGAAAGATTTTATTCTCTCATTTTGATTCCGGTCAATTCTGTTTCAAATTGGCTATTTTTCTCATCCAGCTCTTCTTTGATTTGCGACACCATTAAAAGGTCCGCAAGTAGTCAGTGCGTTAACTGTAATAAAAACTTTTACCCTTTAAATGCTAGCGTCGAATAGAAACTTCTGGGGACTCGCCGTATATCTTAATTTGCAAAATTATGGACTTCCCCGTCGGCCTTTGAAAGTCCGGGGTAGTTTGTTAATTGTTTAAAACGTTCGTTACGTTCGTTGCTTGCAATTCCGGTTTGCGCTTCACGTCTGAACTTCATCCCAAAAGTCTCGTTCGCCAGTTTTAGATGTTCGTTACCAGCTTTTGTTGTGCGATCGCTTTTCTTTGATCAGCAAAAATTGCTGGGACCGATACCCCTGCAAAATATTCTCGCCGATTAAGTAACCCTGTTTACACAACCTCAAGCTTTTAGGAAAATTGAGTTCTCCCGGCCATTTCGCCAATTGTCTTGAGTAAGTCGGAGAAAACAAAAAACGTTTCAATCGCTCCAAGCACCGCCGAATATAATTAGATGAGCTCAAAGCACACACTCATCAATGACACTTTAAGGTTCGTGACTTTTACTGTCGATAACCTGTTCGCTAATATACGGATGGCAAGGGGTCTTGGTCTTATGAATAAAATCTGGTGTCCGGTTTAGTGATGATATTCAAAAACTGCCAATGTCATTATTTGTCAAAGTCTGACTGATTTTTTTTTTTAGTTTATATTATCCTGCTGTCTTAAGAGGAATTTTATCTTCATCCCATCGTAGATGATGGTGGATCGTAATATGGAACATATAGGTTTCGGTGTCAAAAACATCATGTACATATATTTTCCACCGTTTCGGTTTTAGATGGAACTTACCGATGACAATTTTTTCAAAGTTTTCCGCAAAAATATTCACATTGTACTTATTATTTTTTAATTCTTGAATTATTTTAAAGAAAATTCGAACTTTTCCTTGTAAACAATAATTATAATAACAATAAAGGTCTTCGTTTAAATTATAAACAGATAGTTAGATAGGTAGATAGATAAGTAGATAATTTGCTAAATAGGTTGTGCAACGAAGAAGTAGGGTTGTTTTCTGACTTTTCGAAACACCGTAGAGTCGAAGAACTTTAGAGTCTTGAGGAGGTGCTGTCATGTTCAATCGTAGCAACTTTACTGAATTAGCGATAAGAGTTATCTGAGATGTCTTGAATTTTGTTTTGATAACCGATAGATTCATGACGATACTGGCGTTTCTCTTTCCTGCTTTTAAAATGACTATCTCTAGATTAGATTTTGTTAACTTTTGGGAGGTTTAACTGAATTCGATGTTGTTTCGAAATTGTTTCTTTATCGGAGACGACAAGTAGAGGATGAACAAGAATTTGTCAGAGCAATATCACTGTCTCAACCCGAATCCCTTAACCGGGAATTAACACTTCTTACGCTTACTTCAGTTCTCTCAAATAATAAGTTATCAAAATAGCTATGTAATTTACACTGCCTTAGCCATATTCAAAATGTCACCCGAACATTGGAGAAACAGGTCGAAAATTTCAACATCATCACGAAAAAGTCTTTAATATACCAAAATACTTTCTTCTATCTAAGAAAAAATCGAGAGTCCATGGAAATTATCGAACACCATAATAACAATACCCGACGACCAAAAGAAGCTTACCTACATTTTATTTTTATCGTTTGGGCCCTTTTTTGTCCTTAACGCTCATTGGGAGCTTTAAACGATAATTTCCAGGTGGACCTGAGCGAGAAGCCCTCATTTTGGAAAGCCCTCAAACCGCCGGCGAAGGACAAATGCGGCGAATTGCTCACTTCCCTGTGCTATCACCCGAGCAACAGCATCCTCACCCTCACATTGCTCAAAGCCCGCAACCTCAAGGCCAAAGACATTAACGGAAAGTCAGGTAATATGGCGCGGCTAGTTTTGTCATCTCGGAAGAAGCAAGGGAACAATAGGGCCTTTGCGTGAAATTTGAGGCAAAATTTCATAATCCTGCTGAAATCTACCTGATAATTTTAATTAATTTATTGGGTAAAAATTAGTTCTATCAAAATTAGATACTTAAAGTTGATCCAGAGCCCTTTAAATATGACATGATGCATTTGTTGGTGGCCGATGACAACTAGGCTATGAACTATATTAAACTACAATAATATACATTATATGTTATTGCTATCCCTTGTATTTAATAAATATTTAATTTTGAGGACTTTTTATATGATTCTAGCAAATAAAAAAAATTAGATGCAAGTAACAAGTGGTCACCTCTGTTTGCAGATCCTTACGTGAAGGTGTGGCTACAGTTCGGCGACAAGCGCGTCGAGAAACGCAAGACGGCAATCTACAAGTGCACCCTCAACCCGGTGTTCAACGATTCATTTTCGTTCAACGTCCCCTGGGAAAAAATCAGGGAATGCTCGCTTGACATCATGGTGATGGACTTCGATAATATCGGGAGGAACGAACTGATAGGGAGAATATTACTAGCCGGTAAGAAATTGCCATATTGGACTGCAGAACCTGTAAAACTACGACATTTTTTCATGTAAACTGTTTAATTTTGGGGCTTATAACAATTTTTGAAGTTACCCTGTATGATAACTAAAACTTAGATATAGGATGTCTTGCTGCCTCACCACTGGCTGGTTGCCAAGGGTAAGTTAGTTAGTCGTTTGTTTAATTGTAGGTAAAAACGGCTCAGGGGCGTCTGAAACAAAACACTGGCAGGATATGATCACGAAACCACGTCAGACAATTGTACAATGGCACAGGCTCAAACCGGAGTAGGTTAGAGATATTTTGAGACGGTAAAGCTAATCGAACAAGACTTAACTGTTTCCCGAATGCACTTTCTCCGTCACTCTTCCGTGACATCATCTCGACTTATACATCGACGTCTATACGCGAAACGCCACTTACTGAATTTGTATCAATACAGAAATGCTTTGTAAGCGCAATAAACCGGGTTAAGTTTTGGTTCCCGATCTCGCAGAGTTCACAATTCTAAAGCAATTAAGACATCATTTTAAAGTTTTTCTCTTCCATTTTCCTACTATCTGCAATGTAAATTATATGCACAAACACACATTGTAGGTCTCTGAAAATATATATCTGTCTCTGTTCTTTACTGAAAAAAAAAACATAAGAAAAAGAACTGGCAAAATATCTCGTTAAAGAGACATATTTTTGTGATAACTAAAAAAATGTTAATAAAATATTGTTATGAATGTGAATATTTTACGATATATTAAATATAATATATAAAAAAAGATGAAAATAACGATGTGAGAGAAGTTATTGTAATTATATGAAAGTCTGTATTCAAACGTTGCGTCATAGGGAGCGATGCGCGCGCAAAATTAGAGCCAATCGTGAGCCGACGGGTCCGCCCGTGGGGCGTGGCTTGTTCCGCACGGGGCGGTCGCAGCGCTGTAGACCAATAGTACATCTTCTACACTAAGAGAACGCTCGTACTCAAGGAATCTCGCAACAAAAATTACGTCATTCTTAGGAACTATGACAAGCTCTGTTGAAGAGTTTTCTGGATAAAACTGAAAGAATCAACGAAAAGTGGGAGATAATAATGGTCAAAGTTTACAGAATAACCTTCGATCATAATGTAATGTTTATCTGGTTTACCAACGGGTGTAGCATCAGCAACTTTTATTAGAGTTATATTCATTTGCTAGAAAGAAATTTAGGGCACATTTTTTTTTCTAAAATCTGTGTAACAATTGGTTATAAAGTATTGTGGTACCTGTACTAATCAAAACTATTATGGAGACAAGAAACTAATAGTAATCTATACAAGGTTAGTCAACGATAGGAGTTGTTTTAATACAACTAGGTATATTTCAGAACAGTTTTAGAATGTGTTGTGTCCATATAGAATGGAAAAAAAAACTTTAAGTGAAAACTTATTTTCTTTAATCAATGACTTAACTTTGCAGGGTCATTAAAAATGAAAAAACCATTTGCTGTTAATAATTACATTAATAGTTGTGACTACGTCCTGTGTCCTAGGCAGGCCAGTACTTACTTTACCACAGTTTTTGCAACCCTTAACAATCCTTTATTTTGCATGTGTTTATTTAAAGCATTTTTCCCAAGGAAGAAATAGAAAAGCGTTAGTAACTCACAGATATAAACATAAACTACTCATTTTTATTTTTTAATTCAAAATGCTGTCGTTTTTTAGTTGTGTGAAAACTGACAACGTTCTGCGTCACTTCAACTTCGAATGACATTTGAGTAAGGAGTACGAGAATGTACGAGCTCTTTCCGTTAGCAAACTCTCGCACTTTTCAAGAATAAAGCCGTCGATGAGGTTAAGCGCGATAAGAACGGCAGTAACTTATTTTGTTTTTTTTGATATATATTATAAACCATGCCATGCCATAAGGCAGTTCCTCTGCAATTTCGCATTAAATTGCCCATGGCATATCATTTATTATCCCTTAATTATTAAACCCGCTAATGTTCAGACGAATAATAGACAACAGCTGCTTCAATCAGTGCTGAAATCGCACAAAAAATACGGCGTAAAAATGAAGCATCCAAAAGAAAATATCAGGTTAGTTATTTTATATACAGAGTTAATATTTTGAGAAAGAAATATTAGTTTATGATGCAGCAGAAGTTATACTCCCGAGCGCTTTTCAGGTTATAAGTTGACGTTTGTGACGTGTATGCTCATATTTGATTTCACGTATGAAATTAACGAAAATTTAAAAGTCGGCTAACTTTTTAATTTTAATGGTTTGGTGGAGTTGTATGTCCATCTGGATTCATTAAAAAACTTTACTTTTTACTATTAATATTAAATTAGTGTTAATACTAATGGATGTTTGCGACATAATCCGACATGATTTCACATTAATATCCCAGTGTCGAGCTGCCCCACTATTTAGGCAAACGGGACGCTAAGGGTGGTGGGGAGAAAAAGATCGACGTTTTTGCGCGCGCCAATCGCTGCATGCATTTTTTTTATAAGCATATTTGAATATGGAACAAAGATTTAATATTGTTAATATTAGGGTAATTTTTTATAGGTATTACGGTCACGTGTTTTTTTGTATAATTTGCGACGTAACGGTTCGTTAAATTTGTCGTCTCGTTTTTCCGTAAACCTCGAACTTTTGACGTGGGGGGACGTTAGAATCGTTAGGACAGGCCGGAAGACACGCCCCCCTCTAGAGGTTTATTTAAATGTGTGTGCTTTTTGTACCATAGCGGTGTCCTGTTAAGTGTACGTTATCATAGAGCTAGAAGATTTTCGTACCGTCCCCGCCCCACCCCAGCAAATCCCCCTCACCGTGGAAGCAAATTTTTCGACATATTCTAAAAACTGTTGACAACGTTGTTGTTGTCGTAGCGAGTATGGTAAGTCCCGTTTTTGATGGTTTTAAGACGTATCTCCCTTATTAATAAAGCTAGCTAGCCCTAGACGCTGGATAGTTTTTTTTACGTAAAATCCAGTGGCGTACTCAAGTTGCTTCAGAAACTCAAATTTTAAAATACAAACTAAACTTTTTTTTTAACGGAACACCCTGTATTTCTTGTATATGTAACACATAACAAATATTTAATTTTAATATTTTTTAATGCGTAGGCCATCGTTGCTTATAAATTTTAGTTGTCAGTCATCACCTAAGTAAGTCATCACTAAGTAAATATTATTTCAATTTCTGCCTCCTCTTTCTTCTGTTTTGGCTTGTGTTAACTAAAAATATAACAATTTTGAGAAATTGCGTGTATTACTACAGCGCATTTAGTATTTACATACACACAAATTTATTTTGAAAGGGCACTAACTCACTAATAATATATTTTTTTAAGGACAGGGAAAAATACCAAATAATAATCATCCAAAGTTATATTCTTTAAATAAATTACACAAACAAACAGGATACGCCAATGAGGCCTGTAGTTCCTTTTGTAACAGCGCCATCAGTTAAATTCTCAAGAAGAGAATATATCATATTGCCTTTAAACCTAGATCTGTTATTAAAAATTCGTATTATGTATTATTTTTACCATAGAGACAGAACTAGATAACTCTTTAAACTTTCTAACTATAACTAAACTACAGAACAAATTAAATGCTTCCATTTACCCTCACATACGGACACAATAATACATAATAACTCAAATCACCCTTACACACCCATGCTTTTATCCATAGACTACTTAATGTACCACTTTCCACAGAAAATTTTGAAAAAGAATTAAATATTATAAAACAAATAGCTTTTAGCAATGGTTACGACCCCTCGTTGATAGATAAGATTATAACTAAAATGCACTTTCAAATAACTCTGCATTCTATTTATCCCATGTTAAACATCGAACCCAAAATTTATAAAACAATAAAATACATAGGGGAACCTAGCAAGAATATTTCGAAACGTCTATCTAAATTTGGTCCTAATATTGTTTTTAAAACTGAAAACACCATAGGACTTTTTTAAAAAACAATAAAACTAAATTACAAAAACCTCAAAAAACCGGAGTCTACAAGTTAAAATGTGGATCATGTGCGAAAATTTATATCGGGCAAACAGGCAAAACATTTAAGAAACCCATTAACGAACATAAAATATAGAATATTGTATTTGATAAAGGTACGGTGTTGCCGAAACAGAGATCATAAAAACTGTGAAAACCTGAACATTTTTTGTTCTAATTTAATTGTATTAAATGGATTTTCATCAAGTAAAAGCCACCTCAGTCCAAACCTAGCGAAATTCTAAAAATACATACAAGACGTTCAATTAGAAAAAGAAAAGCTTAGTTTACACATCGAAATTTGTGAGTTTCAGAAGAAAACTGACTACGCCACTGGATCGTACGTAAAAAAAGCAATGGATAATAATTTTCATTTTTTCGATAAGTTCAAACTTCAACGAGTGTCTAAAAATCTATGACATTTTCTGTTTGTACCACTTGTCACGAAAGCCTGAACACTAGGTTCATTAGTGGAAGAGATGCGGCGTAAAACCATCAGAAGTGGGGTACACTGTACCTGCGACAACGTTTTGTTGATTTGTCGACGCATCGCGAACTCAAATTTCGACGTGCTACGTTTTTATGGTTAAACATTTAGTCACCGCCACACGGCGGCTTTCGTTAGAAACAAATAAAAAACAGAAATAGTTATAAAAGATGCATAAACTGTAGTGCCTGATTGAAGACGTATCGTTGTCAGCTAAACGCGTTCATTCATTTTACGATTATTTTCCCGTCAGTTGACGCTTGACGCCGCTAGGTGGCGTCGTAGAATTCGGTGTCCTGTAACTTACAAAATTAAAAAAAGCAACGGCACGGTTTTAGGAAGCGAAAGGGATATTTACGTTAAGTTTTTCTTTTTTTCGAAGACGATAATTTTTAAAAAATGGAATAATGTTGCCGCAGACATGTGTTTTACCTAATTAAGTGTTATCTGGCAACATTTAAAGGAGATGAGGATTTAGATGTATGTAAATATATGTGGTAGATCGATAGTGGATCAAAAAACTTGTAGCTGTATTTATTATAGTAAATATACGTATTTAATTTAAAAAGTTTCTTATTGCGCAAATGAAGTTTGTGACGTCACAGTTACGGTCTGTGTTGGGCGAATGCCCTTCGCAAATTGCCCACCTTTGGCGATCATCACAGACCACTAAGAAGTTCGTATGTTCTAAGCTTATTCTGTGCTGAGCATTGCACATGGCCCTATAACCTTCGTTCGCTCCCGACAGAATCCTTTTTATTTGTCCCAAAAAAAATTGATATCGGTTTCTATTGTGTGGATTTAGTTTCCTAACTGTTTAGTAAAACTTTTAAAATGTGTATTCATTGTCGACCACACTGATTCTTGGCGGAAGCGGGGGGGCCGTTCATTTGTTATTGGTCTGAGTCCTTGGCAACCTGGGAACAATTGTTTGTAAATGTTTCTTTTACGTGTTAGCCTTTGGCCAAAAGAAAAAATTGCTCGGCGGAGGTCGGTAATGGGCGAATGGCCATAGCAGTCTTGCCCAACTGTTTGTGAAACGCAAAGAAGAAGATATTCTAAGCGGTTGGCCTTGGCGACGGAAAAGCAACACTATCGATTATGATTCGCGAAAAAAGGGCTGAAAAATTGTTCGCAGGCGAGATACTCGGGGCATCGGACAAGACTCCCTTTGTGTTTATGTTTAAAGGTGAAGAGAATTTACCTTTTGGAAATCTAGAACACAGGTCATCAACATCGGACTTTGCTTGATTTCTTTAATCCTTCCATAAACTAGAAGGGTTTGATGATAGTTTATGATCATTTATTTCATAAAATAATAAAGACTTAGAAATTAAGAAGTGCATTTTTTCCTTAGAATAATAATAATTTCGAGATAGCACTTCGCCTACGTCAATTAATTAGTTTCATGATTTGCGTGGCCTTACTGCACGTGCACCATATATTACAGCGGATTCCAACCAAGTAGATGCTGGATTAAACCAGAGATGGCGCGCCATCGTGCGAGGGCGCAATCTATTGCTGCTTTCACTAACTAAACCTAATTAGTTCGATGGTTCTCCGATAGTTCCGGCGTTCAAGGATAGATGACTCCACCATCGCGTACGCACAATCTAATAGTACTCGTTCCAACCGAATGGTGGAATGGAATGGCTTCTATGACACGAGTGCGCCATTTATTAGTGCTCGCTTAAACTAATTAGTTAGAACCTGTAACGATAGATGGCACCTCTATAGCATGCTCGCAATTTTCTCACAATTGTTCCAACTAATTAGTTTGATGATTTGACAATAGATGGCGGTCCTGCCACACGAGTGTGCCATATATCAACTACTTAGTTCCGTAGTTTGAAGAGAGATGGAACATTCGAATCCGTCACCATCTGTTGGTCAACACTTCAACTAATTTGTTCCAGCCTGTAACGATAGATAACACTGCCATCGCATACGCACACCATATTAGTAATTCTTCCAACTGATTAGTTTCATGATTTAATAACAGATTGCGCTCCTACTACAAGGGTGCGCCATCTATTGGTGTCTCCTTAGACGAATTGGGTCCACGGTATAACGAGAGATGGCGCCACGAAGGAAACAACCAGATTTAAAAAGCGTTTCAATATACAATAAATATATATAGTAGCGAATGGAAGTGTCCCAAACTAAGCCTTCAAATTGACAGACAAGTCAGGGGTATGATAATAATCATAGTCCTGCATACCACCTGTCAAGAGGGAGAGGGCGTCTGGCATATCTCGCTTTCAACCAAAGTCTCGTTTTCACTTAAGCCTCTAAGACGGTGGTAACCATGGGTTGATCTTAAACCTCTCCATTCTTTCGGCTTGGCATAAAGGTTGTACACAGATGGTTGGGTCGTCACAATAATACACCGGTATATATACACGCACTATTACCCCAACCTTCTTACCTCGATTTGAAGCTATGCAATATTGCCAAAATGTTTTTCGAAAAAAATTCTCAGATGAATGTGTTGTAGTTCGCCACTACTTTTCCTAATTTATTGAAACGAGTGGCCAGTTTCTTCGCTATACTTTTAGTACCATAGAAATCCGCGGATCTTTTAGTTTATGTGAGAAGCTCCAACGGAGAGCTGTTGACTATCGCCACGCAAATGGCCGCCTTTCCATCAAAATTGGCCAGCAGGTCTTTAAGATCCGGTCGGCTTGCCAATATATACCAATACCAAATATCCCAAAATATAAATAAAAGGCATTCAAGCGTCGTCCCCTCTTTGCTGGACCTAAACTTATGGTTTACGTTCTGTCATTGGGAAAATATCGCTAGGGTCGACACTACATGAGACAACATTTTTGGACCACTAAAACTAACTAAATATAATCTGTTCATCTGCTTTACGTAATATTGACGAAAAAATTTGACGGATCCGCCATATATATATATATATATATATATATATATATATATATATATATATATATATATATATATATATATATATATATATATATATATATATATATATTCTCACGTATATATATATATATATATATATATATATATATATATATATATATATATATATATATATATATATATATATATATATATATATATATATATATATATATATATATATATATATATAACGGGTCGCCGCCCTACCCACCGAGAAAGGGGTATGGGAGATGCAGACAGCGCGATTGCCGACAAAAAAAACATTTTGATCTGAATATTTGTTTTTCATATAATAATTCCTCTAATGTATTATGTAGCTATATTTATGGTAGCAAAACCTAATGATTTTACCTTTTTCTTTTTAATTTTGAAGTGAAAAAGAGAAAAAATACCATTTTATCGATTCATTAAAGGTTTAACAAATCCGGATTCAGTGTTTGGGCAAGTGGCACCAAGATGATAAACTTGAAGGACACATTATTTTTACTCTAACCATAAGTAACCATAGAAACTTCATTAAAGAAAGTTTGATCAAAAGTCTTAAAAGGCATTAGCCATAAGGTATGTTAATGCTAATTCTTAGAGATAAACTAAAAATTTAAAAACATTGAATAAATGCAAAGCTGATATAATATTTAATCTTAGCTTGTCATTTTCTCTTGTTAATACCTTAAGCCAGCGGCTTATTTATCTCATTCATCTGAACCCACAGCGTTGTAGTAAGCAACGTTCAAGGTCCCCAGGGCACGACTGCCAATTTTTAACCCGTATCAAATTCAAATAACAAAACATAAACTTGATAACTACTGCCTCGTGGCATTTGGATTTGTTAAAGCTAATCTAATCACCGAATCACTCTTAACTTGTCCGCTTATCACAGCTGCATCTCTCACCAACATCAAGCAGGGAGTTCATTTCTTCAAAACAGCTGTTTTTAAAGCGAAAAAAAAACAAACAAACACGAATAATTTTACTACTTGACGTCACGATAAAAAAATTTCTGCATTTCCAGTTCTTAATGGTTGCTGTATTGAGACAAAACACCATTACGCTTCAAGTCCGTCCCTGTTCATCTGCGCTGAGAGGAGATTATTATTACAAAGAAGCAATCTTGTTTATTTTTAACGATGTTTGCACTCGATTTTACTCGCGTTGCAAGCTCGACGAGTCAATCGTTAGTTTAATGTGAACCATGAGTACGGCTGGTAAAATAATCCACGTGTCGCCCATGAACGCGGGCACTGGATTCCCGAAGGACCACAAGTGCGCCTGGCGCGAAAATTTCGGAAAGAATGTGCCTATTCCGCACACGAAACACGACTGGTAAAGCGTGTCGATCGTCACTTGCGACATTTTGGATAGGTTCGATTTTTCAGGCGGCCCTCGGAAAACCTTAAAATTCACCCGGACGTGACATCTCTGATGGGTCACACTCCGATGGTGAAGCTTAACAGAATTCCCAAAGAGGCGGGGCTGAAATGCAATGTCTGTGAGTTCAATTGTATAGCCTTATTCATTGATTAGAATATTCGAAATATTTCTTCAGTCTTCATTAGGATCATAATTTAGAATTTATTGTAATTGATGTTGCGGTGTTCCACTGCGGCCTGATATATTGATATATAAACTTATACAGTATAGTTCCAAGTATTCGTTAACCCATCACTCAGTCTTCGAAAGAGATCCTCAAATCTGGGAATTTTTGGTTAGTTTTGCATCTGCACAGTATGTATTCAGCAGTTTCCTCATCTTCTAAGCACAACAACTCAGAGAGAATTTTCAGATTTGGTCTGTTAAATGCTCTATCTTCAATATATTCATATGGCGAGTCCGCTCCTTTTCTCGATAGGAGGTGCTTTTTTCGTTACCTTCCAGTCCACTAAGCCAGGGTATTCATGTCATCCTACTAGACAATAACACAGATTTGCAGTGTCTGCTGAAAAGATCCAAGATGCTCTCTCATTGAGTGCCGAAGTCCAAGAAAAGGGAGAAATATTGATACAAAATTGAACTTAAAGATCATTAAATTATATTACTGATGCAAAAAATCCTATTACCTATTACGTAAGAAATCTCTACCATGCACTGCAGATTTTCAAGTTTAATGGCGTCTTGGTTTCCGGACTTCGGTTATCGCAATCTTCTCGAAAGCCGATAATAATAATATCAGCAGTAGTTATTTTTGAAATACACTAGCAAAATTGTTTTTTTTTATCATTCGCCCTGATTGCTACGTATTAAAGGACGAACTTTTAACTGCAATAAAAATTCCTCAGGAAATGGTCGGTTTCCGCGAATCCGCTGAAAAAGTCTACATGCAGCCCACCTCGCCATATAGGTATACTTCTGGAATTTATCAATTTTTGCATTAGCCACCAGACTGCAGAGCTATATCATAGGCCTGACAATTATCGTGTACAGCCAGTATAACATCTGCTTAGCACCCAGACCTCAGGTTTTGTCACAAACCGTCTCCATTAGAATCGCATTCTAAACAAACACAAGAACTGGGTAGCAAACAAAACCTCTTATCAATAGGATAGAGGTTATGAGATATAAAGCGAGTACGAAAAAAAGTTAAATAGAATCTAACATCGTTTATCAAGAAAATTTTCCGTGGTATGGGGTGTCTTTTTGTTGAGAACGGAAAGACTGTTTTTTTAATATCCTAATTATGATTATACATAATTTCACAACCATATGGAGCCGTTTACTCCAGTACAAATATTTCAAAATTCAATATTTCAAAGCGCATTTGTAATGTGTAATTTTGAATTTTATATCTATTCAAATAATTCACAGCTAAACTTATATGTCGTCTTGTAGTTGAACGACTTTCACAAGTATTTCACTTTTCCATACGTCCATAGGAGTACTTTATTTCAAGTAAACTGTCTCAATTATAACGTTTAGTTAATGATTCAATTCCATTTCATGTGTACTCGGCTAATATTCAATAATTCAAAGTTTTAAATTTTTAAATTTCGATGTCACTTTTGCTTCAAATCAATAAGTTATCAGCACACAATTAATTATTAAATGACATATATACGGAGGGTTGCACGGATGATGATTGATCTAAAAATTTTGTTAGTTTCATAAGCGGCGATGTTCAATCGATCTAAAATAATTTTTACACTGCGACGTTGCCGCTTCTTCGAAAAAGTGGCACTTTTTCATTGTTTTTCAATAATGCGTTCCTATACCTATCTTTACTGTTTTTCCAGAAATTAATTATTTTCTTTATTTATCGACCAAACTAACCAAAACTACAAGTTCAATTAAATTTTTATTACTACGACGCTGGAGCCAGTAGGAAATTAAAAATGCGATTGTAATTTAATATCGAAATTAGTTGTATATCATACAAGGTTGGTCAAAACTAATGATTTGCCAACGAGGTATAAAAGTTGGTATATTTTTTAAAAATTGAATGCCCTATATCTTATCATATATTATAAGAGCAAATTAAATTTCCTTGCGAATGATCCTCAGCGGTTTTCGAGTAGACTAAGACATAGCTTCAACTAAATTTTTATCTCTTCGAGATTGGAGCCAGTAGAAAGTTCAAATTTTGGACATAGCTTAGGGAGGCATTATCGTTGAAAGTGCTTTCTTTTTTTTCACATGGAACACCTTGTCTTTCTTATCACATATTCTAAGACCAAATTAAATTTCCTTTCTAATGATGTGTCATATATACCTAAATCGTTTGGTTTCTGAAATAAAAGCAAGTTTCTCAAAAAATGGGATTACTTTGGCATAATTCACTTTTTACTGATTTACAGCACATGCCAAAATTAAGAAAATTTTTAAAACCATTTTACAAAAAACATTTTAAAGACTATTTACACTAACAAAATATTACGTACCTAAAAATTGCACAATCCGTTGAAGTTGGATTGATGGTAGTAGCTAGCCTTGTTTATCTCCGATGATGAAATAATGAATTATGCCAAAATAATCCAGTTTTCAGAGAAACTTGCTTTTATTTCAGAAGCCATTCGATTTAGATATAGAGACAAGCACTTTTCACCTTTTTTGTACCTGATTGGCCAATCATTAGTTTTGAACAATAATGTAGAAATAATTTCGATATTAAGAAATTCTGTTGAATGCCTCTCTAAGCTATGTCAAAAATTTTAACTTTCTACTGGCTCTAATCTCGAAATGATAACAATTTAATTGAAGCTATGTCTTAGTCGACTCGAAAACGGCTGTAAATAGATATAGGAACGTATTATTGAAAAACAATCATAAAGCATTAGCGGATCGGAAAATGTAATAAGATACAGGGTGTCATATTTAAAATTTCAATGTCGATGCTACTTTTTCGAAGAAGCAGCAACGTCGCAGCGTTAAAAATATTTTATATCGATACAGCTTCGCCGCTTATGAAACTAACCATATTTTACGTACGCATGCAAAATTACTCCATGCAAAATTTATTTTTTAAAAATACGAGATTATTTCAGCATTTTTTACGGCTGATATAGGTTAGGAAAGAGATATCGAAATGTCGTTTTCACTAAAGTGTTAGATTTTTATTTAGCTTTCTTCTCTTGAATATTCCAATAAAATTTACTTCTACGCATTTAATTTTCTTGAGACAAGACAAGACAAGACATTACCACGCCTTATTTTATTTCACTATAATTATCAATAAAAGAAATAAACTACTTTTTATCCATTAAAAAGCCCACAAACGTCAGTGTGGACTATTATTTTGATCTATTTCTATTGTCATCAGAGGAATATAATGTATTTTGCTTTCTACAAATGATCTGCATTTCATAAATTCAGATTGGGATACATTACCCTTCAAGCACATCATATGCCAAAATATTAAAAATTTTATTCGCAATATTTATCATAGATTTGTTTTGTTGTTTTGCAAACATGTATCCAAACACTAATGCTCGTAGAAAAAGTATATTATGCAACAGGTTGGGTAACTTTTTAAGTCACTTTTTATTTTCGCGAAACCCACGAAATCGAGTTTTTTTTATTAAGCTCTTGCACCGTTGCAAATAAACTACTGACTCAAATACGCTTTACCACCCCTGTTGCATAACATAGTATTTTAAGATATACAATCATTTACTTTCAAAACTTGCGCGGTTCATCAATATTATCAGTAATATTTGTCATTTTACTTTTAGAAATAATCTTACACATAAAATACATGCTTCATATCCACTAAATTTTTCTTCCCGGAAACATCAAACTAACTTACCACTTTACCATTTTTTGGTACTGTTGCTAAATTTTCAAAATACTTTTAATCACTAATCATGTGTGCCCTAGAATTATTATCCTACACTTTAATTGTTTACTTACTAATCTCCATATTGTAATACACATGATCAGCAATGGTTGGCAAGGGTCAACTTTTGTCTGAAACGAATTACTTTCTTAATTATTTTTCATCTCATTCATTTGAATTTTGTTCTTCACATGTTCTACAGTTCAATCCTCTTTCAAAGTATATGTAACATCACCAATATATTCCTCTTAGACTTTGCGAATTTTCGTCCTCACATACAAACTCTTTAACTGCATCAAATATATAATTTATTGCTTCAAAATCGTTTTCATGTCGGTCATCATTCCTTCCCGTTCCTAATTTAGCTCTTTGTTATGACAACTTTTTTCCAATTTCACAAACGCAGACCTCTGTCTTCTGTCAAACACCGGTCTTGCAACTTCTGAATCTTAATCTTAACAAATTCCAATTACGAAAACCACGAACATTGCTTTGGTAATATCGTATTTATGATTATACGTCTACAAGATAAAGTAAATGCCGGCTTGGTGCCGTCAACTCTTCCCCTAACAGAATCACAGAAACCGCAATTCTTGCCACTTTATGGGCAGTGTTGCCACACATACATAATTCCCAATAGAAACATATCACTTATATCTTAATTCTTTCATTTTTTGAAAGTTTTGTTTTATAATCACTCGCGAATACTTGCGAAACTTGGAAGTTGACTGTTTTAGACGCGAAATGTGAGTTCCTCAGTCCCGGTGGTTCGATCAAGGATCGTATGGCGAAAAGAATGTTCGATGATTACGAACGGCAAGGAATCTTAAAACCGGGAATGACAATCATAGAGGCGTCGTCCGGTAATACGGGCATCGCGTTCGCCCTTTTATCCGCCATAAGAGGTTACAAGTGTATCATCGTGCTGCACGAAAAGATCTCCCACGAAAAGGAGATGACGATCAAAAGCTTAGGCGCGGAAGTGGTGCGGGTACCGGCGGACAGCGACGACTTCTCCCCCGAAGGATTTTTCGGCGTCACCTGTAAGCTGCGCAAGGAGATCCCAAATTCTATCATTCTGGACCAGTTTTCCAATCCGGGGAATCCCTTAAGTCATTACGACACCACAGCCGAAGAAATTCTCGACCAGACGGACCGCAAAGTAGATATGATCGTAAGTAGCTCCCTTTTCTAGCGCACACCCGATTCACAAACAATCATCATCAATTGCTTTTGAATGGGATTATCCAAGGGTGGTCATTAACACACAATGCAACAAGATTATTACCTAAAGTTTCGGAATTTAAATTCAGGTGAAATTGAGGTTCTACAAAGTTTGAACCTACAAAAGCAATACGTCTGTGATAATTATGCAAAAAATCTAGGGCATACAGTTTTAAGGCATCCACCTTATCACTGTATATTTAATCCCATTGAACATGAAAAAATGAAATCTGCCATTCGTCGTAACAATGTTTTTCCCTGTGTCCTCAGACTTATAAAACCCGAAGTTTTGAACATCCCTCCACAATATTGGGTAAATTCGGTTAAACGTATAGAAAAAGCAGAACAATCGTATATCCATATTGCAAATAATATAGAACAAATAATAATTAGAAGAGGCGATGATAGCGATAGTGATACTGATATATTATGTGAATAATTTTAAGTAATTTAAGTAGGTAATAAAAATAATTTGTAATTTTATTTTAGATTTAAACATAAATACATACATAAATAAATAAATATTGTTTAGTATCTTTCCTAACAAAACCCCAAATAATTAAATTCTAGGCAAAGTACGGACCTGTTATATTTCATTCTTACAGCTTGCCCGGGTCTTTCCTTAATTCGTATCAGTCAGTCACTTTCTTATATCTATGAACAGATTTGACAGGCAAAATACTTAGCCTAGTTCAACGTATTTGATTTTCAAATTAAACTAAAAACAAGGCTTATGTTGAGAAAGGAATGAATGGAAAAAAAAAACTTATTAAAACAGAATTAAATTAGAACAAAAAATGTTCGGATTTTCACAATTATTTAATGATTTATGACCGCTGTTTCGACAACACCCTGCCTTTGTCGAATACAAAATATGACAATGTTCCGACATCTATATACACAATCAGGTAGTAATAGATTCTTAATTACCGGTGTGGGTATACGAAGACGCATTTAAATCCAATTGGTCATTACGTAATATATTGGAATATCTCATTTTATTAATCTTCATAGCTTCCCAGAAATTTAGATTTTTGCTTTTTGATTGCTTATGGAAAATATCAAAATTATCGTCAAACTTGTGTATTTCTGAATTTAAATGAATGGAATAGTTAAAATCCGAACATTAATTTTCATACACTCTCATATTCGTTAATGCGTTTTCTAAATGTTCTATCTATTTGTTTAATGTAAATTTTGGGGCATGATCCACATTTCAACCTGTAGACTTTGGACTTTTGAGTTTTTGGTAATTTAGTTTTATTATTTTTTAAAAATTTTCGAGTGGTGTTTTCAATTTTAAAAGCAAACTTAAGTCTAAATTTAGATAGATAGATGTAGTTTCTTTTGTTACAGCACCATCAGTTAAACTTTCAACAAGATTGAAGTTTTAGAATATCATATACCTCCACTTAAACCTACATATCTTATCAAAAATTGGTTTGAACTAATTAACAACGTTAAAGACATTAAAATTCCTCCTATAGCTTCAGTTGACGTCCAAAACCTATATAAACATAATGGACAATATCATAAAATAAGACTTGCTAGATAATTTCATAGTTTGTTTAGACAAAAATTATTTTGAAATTTTATATTGCCAAAGAAGGATTAATTATGGTAAACCCACTTAGTCTTGCAGAAATTTTCATGGAAAATTTGGAAAATATCATACATAAACCTGCTTTGAGTAAAAAATTTCTTTGGTGGTATAAATATGTAGATGATGTTTTTGCTTGTTTCACTGGAACAGAAAGACAACCGCAGTCCTTTTTGAATCATATTAACTCTATACATAAGCCTATAACATTTACCATAGAGAAGGAACTAGATAACTCTTTCAACTCTAAACTACAGAACAAATTAGATTTTTCGATTTACCATAAACCCTCGCACACGGACACAATAATACATAATAATTCAAATCACCCTTATATATACAAAATGACTGCCTTTTATGCTGTTATGCATAGACTACTTAATATACCACTTGCTACTGAAAATTTTGAAAAAGAATTAAATATTATAAGACAAATAACTTTTAACATAGGTTGCGACTCCATCTTTGATAGATATGATTATACGTAAAAAGCAATTTGAAATAACTGGGAACTCTATTTATCCCGTATTAAATACCGAACCCAAAATTGATAAATAATAAAATACATAGAAGAACCTAGCAAGAAAAACCATTTGAAAATTTTTAAAAAACAATAAAACTAAATTACGAAAAATTCAAAAATCCGGAGTCTACAAGTTATGGATATACATAAAAGAGCGTATAAAAATAAAAGTTCGGATTCTAACTATGCCGTTCATTTAAATTCAGAAGTTTGACGACAATTTGGATATTTGATATAGATCTATTTAATTATAATACCTGGGATACGGAAAAAAGGAACTGCTCTTCGTTTAATGCCTCGTCTTCCTTGCAAAAGGATATTACATGCAGTAAAATGAGAACCATAACCGAAGTATTTTCTGTTAAATTGTAATTGTAAAAATTTGGGACATTTGGGTTCAACTCTGCAATAATACAATTACTGTCGACCAGTGGTAGAGAAAATTCAGAAAGGGTTTTTAACTCACTTTCTCCGAATGGAACCACCACTAAAAATGAGCTCCGAAGAACTCAAAAACGGGGTGAATAGGTCAAGTTGACACTCCTGTTAATTGCAAAATGGTATCACCAGCGCCATCTCTTATTTGTACCATTTGCGCGGGAAATCTTTGTTTATCTTTAGTAAGTAAACTGTGATTATACTGTGAGTGATCTACGTTGCAGCTTCTCAGCGCCGGAACCGGGGGAACCATGACTGGAATCGGAAGGAAGTTCCGGGAAGTCTCCCCCATTACCAAGATAATAGGATTTGATCCGTATGGTTCCCAATACGCGCATCCCGACAGCCTGAACGAGACGGACGTTAAATTGTGGGAGATTGAAGGTTTAGGTTACTTCCATATACCCAGCACTTTGGACAGAACCCTTTGCGACTACTGGGTGAAGGTGTCGGATGCCGAGTCGCTTCTGATGGCTCGCAGACTGATGAAGGAGGAAGGGTTGTTGGTCGGTAAGTAAATTTAATTGCTCGATTTCGGCAATCTCATCCTCAATTAACTTTTTCGGAGCTGCCTCTATCTCCAGGTTTTTTTTCAAATCTGGGTACAAGTTCTTCTTGTTTTTGTTGAGGTGTGTGGCCATAACTCACCAAATATTCCTTGTAGACGCTGAATAATTACTGTCCCAGGGTTAAAAACACAGGGCTACGAAAATCCGTCTATATCAGTTACACACCTAAATATTGCACCAGATAGTTGCATGTCAAACTTGTCTGGCCCCAGTAATAACCATAACAAATTTGGTGTCTTACAGGTCCAAGCAGCGGAGCGGCAGTGGCGGCGGCGGTTAAAGTAGGCCAGAGCTTGAAAGAGGGCGACAACTTGGTACTACTGCTGCCCGACGGTATTAGGAACTACATGACCAAGTTCGTGTCCGACCAATGGATGGAGGCGAAGGGACATCAGCCTTGTTCCAATCCCCTTAATAAATGGTATTTTTGAGTGTACGCTAAACGCCAAGTCGTTTAATGGAGTCCAACGTCACTCTAGGTGGTGGGAACGCAAGGTAGCGGATCTGGGACCCAAGCCGCCCATCACACTACTGCCCACCGAGACATTGGCGGGCGTGCTGCGCATTTTGAAAGAGAAGAACGCTCAAGGCGCCGCCGTCGTCAACGAAAGCGGGTCGGTATTTTGCACACCCTGTACAATATCAAAAAAAATCTGCTGGTAATGATAATAGCTTTGCATCTCTTTGCTGTTGGAAAACTTTTCAGATATGAATAACGGTTATCGAGGAAGAATTTTTTTGACTCCAAAAAAAAAAAGATTTTCGAATTTTTCAAAATGCTTCCCTACCCCTCGACCACTATGGTTCAGACGTCCCACACTCTATCTCCGTGCCAAATTCTAAATCAATAGCTTTAAATTTCTGACGGTTGCAAAAAGAAACATGGACGCCGTGGTCGAATGACCGGTCATTTTCTATTAAGTCAGAAGGCGCGCGGAGTATTAAAAGGGAGTGAAATTTATAAAGCGTGGCTGTAACCTTTCAAACTTTCAACAACGCAGACAATGAAGGAGATTATGTGCTCGGTTTTAGGTTTCTGGTAGGTACGGTGCACCTGAACGAGGTCAAAACGGGACTGGTGTCGGGCAATTTCAAGCGAGACGATGTCGTCAAGCGATGCACTCACACTATACCGCTGAAGGTAACGAAGGACGATACGTTGGGTCGCGTGTCTAGAATACTGGAGAAGGACCCCATAGCTTTGGTGATCGAAACGGTTACCGTCGACGGCGAAACGAAAGTCAGACCCGCGGGCATTGTAGACCTGGACGACTTGCTGACTTACACGAGTTAAATCAAATCACGACTTTGTAATTCTATAAACAAGGATATATTTGCAAATCTTTCGTTATTATTGTACACATAGATAGCGTCGCAACGTACAATTGTTTATATATAAAAATTATGGTATGATACAAGGGAAAAAATACGGGACTAAGCTATGTACAATAAAACCCAAATAGAACCTAAACTATATTCAACGATTCAGCTAAACGGCGAAGGCTCGGTTTTGATCCTCGATTATTATATTTGATTACATTTTGGAGCGCTAAGTACGACGCAAAACAACGGGGATAACGTTCAACAAATAAATATCTAATACGGTTGCACATCTATACTCAGTCTTATCACAATAGGTCTAAGTTTAACGATATGATGGCGCATTCGCGCCCGACTCACACGTACTCGACAACCACACCGTCATCAGAATCGACGACCTCCCTTCTGCAGAACGTCAGCGACAACGTCCTGCAGATGGTCTCCGTCACTCAGGCATACGACGTCTCCCTGCCCAGGTTGCTCGACGTGCTCGAACGACTGGTATTGGATAACCTAAAAGACCCTACGCGTAACAATGAACCTTAATCATCCGTCCGTTTACCTTCTCGCGTCGTTCGACAACGACTTCTTCTCGTTCTTCGGCGACCCCAGCTTGTGATTTACCAAGAACGTGTTCACGGACTCGTCCGATCCGAAACTTTCTCCGTCGCTGACCGAAAAACATTTTAAATTGGTAACCGCCATACAGGAGAAAAAGAAAAACACGTCCAGAGAAGTGGATGATATACAGAGAGAAGGGGAATGGAAAGACTAGATTAGATGGATAGGGAGTCCCGGCCCACAGACATAATTTAGAGGTAGATCGGCAACCAAAATCGCTGTCGATAATATAGTTTAGACTCACCTGTCGCTATTATCGGAAATGCTATCTTCCAGCTCGCCTTGTATGGCCGACTGGAGATCTTCTATCCGCTTCAACGCCAACCTCAGATCCGTCCTAGTGGTCGACGCTTCGGCTTCCAGAGCTTCGCACCTTTTCTCCAACTCCTTCTTCTTGATTATCACCTCCGACTCCTTGGCCAAACTCTTATTCAGTTCCTCTTTCACTTCCCTGATAAAAACAAAGAGCTTTCATACAGCCGCGGTGACACGGAATCCCCGCAATTCTAACCTCAATTGTCTCTGAAGTTTTCTAAGTTGATCCTGCGCCTGTTGTTCTTTCACCCTGGACGAAGCCGCGTCGCTCTGCAACTTGTCCACGGTCTCCTTAAGTCTGGTTATTTGTGTCTCCAGGCGCGACCTCGTCGTCTGTTCGAGCTCCAACTTGGATTCCAACTCTTTAACCTTCAACTCCGAGCGTTTGAACAGCAAGTTAGAGGACGCGCCGCCCATACTCTCCGCCGATTCCAACCTCGACGTCAATTCGGCCAACTGTTCCTTCAAATGGTTCCGCTCCACCTCCAACTCCGCAACCAGCGATACCTGCTCTTGCAACGTGGCCTGATCGACGGACATCTGTTGTACGGCCGCCTTGTACTTCTTCAACACCTCGGCTAGTTCCTCTTCGTTCTCCTCCAGTTGGGATTGAAGTTCCGACTTCTCGCGTTGCATCGCCTGACCCCGTTCCTCCGCTTCCAGTTTTTGCTTATTGGCCTCTTCTAATTGAGCCTGGGTTTCTAACAGTTCCCCCTCCAAGCTTTGCTTGGTTTTGACGGCGAGCGCCCGAGCGCACTCCAAGTCTTCCAACTGGTTCCTGAGCTGCCGGATCAGGTTTTTGCTGGGCGTCTCCGCTTTTTGCCTCTCCAACTGCGCCTGGGTGTCTCTGAGCAAAGCTTTCGTCCTCTTCAAGTCCCGTTTCAATCGTTGCAGCAGTGCCTCGTCTCCCGCCCTATCCGTTCGTTCCGCGTCGGCGGCCGCTTGAAGCCTTCTCTCCAATTCGTGTCGTTCTCGCAATAGTTGCGTCCTTTCTTCGTGTTCATTCTCCAATTGCTGTTCCAAAGCTATACAAATTCAAATGTGCTTCAAGCGTCCCAAAAGGTCCGTTATAACTTTACATACCTTTGACTTTCTTCTGAGCGTTACACCTGGCCTCTTCCAGCTCCTCTTCCCTCAGCTGAGCCTCCCGTTTCGCTTCCTTCCTCATAGACTCCAGCGTCATCTCCAGGCGCAACTTGGCTTGCTCCAAAAGCTGCACCTGTCCGGCCAGCTCGTCCAGTTCTTCGTCCTGGTCCTGTAAACGGCGCTCGCAATCGATTTTTTGCTTCCTCAACACCGTCACTTCCTCCTCGGTCTTCCCGCCGCAAGTTATCTCGTCGAATTCCCTCTGCAGCGAACCGAGCCGTTCCTCTTTGAGGTCCAATTCCAACCTGGTATCGGCCAGAGTGCTCTCAATTGCGTATTTCTCGGCTACTAGCACTTCTTTTTCCCTCGCCAATCGATCTTTGGCCTGCCGCTCTTTCTTGAGTTCCTCCTGGAGGAGGGAAGTCTCGGAGTCGTACTTGCGCTGCTTCTTCTCGAGCAGGTTGTTGCGACTGCTCTGCTCCTCGAGCAGAAGTTTCAGGTCGTTCATCTCCCCGTTGAGCTTCTGGACTTTGCGTTTCCACTGACCGACGACTTGACGTTGTTCTTCCACCTCTTCGTAAGCGTCTGCCAGCTGTGGAAAATAAAAGGCGAAAGCCGCTTAGTGAAAATGTAAAACCCTTGCTGAAGCTGCCGATGTAAATAACATTAACGGAAGTAATAGTGACTGACTGACTCCAAGCCAACTAACATAAGAAAAGACGGCAAGACTTTCAAAACACAATAGATTCTGGAGTTCATCATACCGAAATGTTTGGTTTGCATCTCAAATATGTATGTCAAGGGAAACAATAGAGCAAGGGTTATATCTAAGGGTTATTTATTATTTGTGCCACAATCTAGGATTAAGCAAGCGAGGAAAACTTTCATACGGCTTATAATTTAAATTGTCTTTCTCCTCCCTGGATTCTAGAGTTCCGACTCTGGACCCTCAGATAGAGAAAACAATAAAACTTTTCGAATCGCACCTTTACAGAACGTATTCATAAAAAAAATAATGAACACTATCAGGGAAAGAAGAATCAGTAATTAGGTCATGTGGTGAATGGTGAGAGATACGAATTACTTCAGCTTGGACACCAACTTAAGCTTTGCTTAAAATTATACAATCATTCATCATACAATGAGAGAAAATATGATCTCTAAGAAACGAATATACTTATGGGAGCGGGGAGGTTGAACTAACGCCGACTCTTGATAGAAGATCAATTAAATCTTTTCGTTCGGCTAGAACGGTGACTTAAATGTGAAGAGAAGATTAAATTGCATTCCAATGCTAATGGAGAAAAAATGTCTTGCCACAGATCTATTTCCCACGTTTTCCTAGGAAATTGCCATTTTACTAGATGCAGCGTGGATTTTCTTAAAACATCACTCACCGTAAAGTATAGTTTTTAAAATGCAGATGAGCGATAACGAGCGACCGAATTAAGCAACAAGGTCCGTTTCATGTTCAAATCCAATTTAAAACAAAAATCTGCCGACTATAAAAGATTTTGTTGAAGGTCGACGTTATCGCCAATTTAATATGCAAATAAACAACTCCGATCAACAAAGTGTAACGCTGTGAAACTGTTATACACCATGAGACAATAACAGATACAACAAAAAGTACTCTCGTATTACCAGCAGAAGCAACGTCGAAGTTGGGTGCATCTGCACAATATAACGCGTTTCATATCGCATTTCGATACTTTTAAGAATAGCGGCCCAGGATAATAACAGAGTAATTGAATATGAACCGTATACATGTACAGCTATAACACTTAAATGGAGAATCTTAAGAAAGTCATAGACTGGCGTGTTGTGTCATACATTAATGTCATACATATATGCGAATGTGCTTTTTGACACGTGCCAACATAATGACGATGTTTTCATATTTATCAATCTCCTTAAATCAGCAATCTTGGAGGTAGAACAATTAATAAACAATTAATAGAAAGCCACACACAGAACCTAAAAATAAACTAAAGAATGGTGGAGTTTTGACCACATACATGTATGCACGTTGATTCTTGCGTGTTGATGAATTCAATTTGAAACAGAAAATTTGTGCAATGCAAATTTGTGTTAAATTTTGCCCACAGACTAGCGAATATCCACGCAGGATGAATGACGTTCCTGTATGACACATATACACGCCAGTCTTATAAAGGTCCCAGCGAACAAATTTTAATCGCATATAAAACATGCAATCCCTATTAACTTAATAATAATAATAAATAGTAAATAGTGCCATTCTTGTAACCGTGAATTAAATTTGATAGTAAAGCGCTAAGAAAATCAGGCATTTGGTGCAGCGGTATCAGCAGCCCATGATTTGTAACCAAGAAGTTGCCGTTAACTTTATATACCATAAATAGATAAGCTTTACAACGCCTTCTTTTTGCTACAAATTTTTCGATATATCATTTCTTTAAAATATGTTCTATTTCGTATGCCTGTCACTATATTTTACTTTTACTCCAAAAGTTGACAGACAGAACTTTTACTTTGACATTATTATTCAAATTTTAGCAATTCAGAAATTCTTCCCTTTTTATGAAGGTATTTATGTCGATTCCAAAAATATAAATGGACGCCATATTGCTTTTTAAAAATGAGCTTTCAAGTAATATTTTAACTTTTATAAAAGTTACTGAGGTGCCTTATAGCATTATGATTCTTGCAAGAAAACCTAAGGTTAATTATGCAATCATAATCTCACTTTTGAGTTGTTTATTCACTGCTACATGCCGTTCAAAATTGTTCGCAAAACCCGCCTTTCAATGGCTGTAATGTTGTACAATACAAATAAGCTTGGAATGCTTTGCCCAGAGTGAAAACATAGCGGTTTCATTCTACATGAAAAAGTTTGTTACTGAGCTTATAAGTTTTATAACATTCAATACGTTTCATGGTACCTGTAGAAGAGTTTTCAAAGTAGTAAAAGTTTCATAATAATATTTTTAAGAACGCTATAAAAGCGGAAGCAACCAACACCAAAGGTTCGATAAATAAGTAACGGAAACGTTTTGGATGCAATATCATCAAACTTGAAGTATTTTTATTGGATGCCTTACAAAACTTGTAACGCCAATGGTTTTGTTATAAAACTACAAGAACTGCTATGAAGGTTAAGGTTTCCTATAATTATCCGTTACCTTTTAAGAACACCTTAAGCTGCTAGTTAGATTCTTTATAACGGCAAACAAACCTTTTTCTCCAATTGCTTTTTGAGTCCCACCAGCTGCTCCAGATCGTCTTCGTGTTGTTGTTGCAACCTGCGCTTCGTAAACTCCAACTCCCTCAGAACCCGCTCGTATCTCTGCTTATAGACGCCGTCGCTGTCGCCTACAAACACCGAAGCATTTGATGATTCGCTTGGACATCAGCTAATCCACTTACCGTCGTCCTCCTCCTCGCAAATGCCGTTTAGATCGGATCTGGCGTACAGAAGTTCCATCTCCAACCTCTCGGAGGCTTGCGCCAATTCTTTGTTCTTGTGTTTGGTCTCGGACAGTTCGCGTTCCAGACGAAGTCGTTCCGACGTTTCGGCATCCAGTCTCTCAGCAGCTAGCGTTGCGGTCGAGTGTTCTTCAGCCAAGTCCACAGTCATCTCGCTTAGCTGCAAAGAAAACATGGACGAAATTTTAAATACTTTCAAAATAGTTATTACTTTTGAAAATCTATTTAGAGAATACATTAAAATACATTTAAAGGTGTAAGAATACTCAGAAACTATAACCTACCTGCCAACACCAAGAAAACTGAGTATTGGTAGCAACAATCAGAGTGATAGAGTGATCAGGTAATGAACCAGTTTTAACATTTAAAAGAGGTTCTCCACGAAGGGAAAAAGTAATGAATGCAACTCAAGCAAAATAGAGCAAGGAAAAAAGTTATAAGACACACTGTTTTGGAGTAACAGAATTATGTCAAACAAATACTATAAAAAAATAGAACTTTGTATGGACATCTCCAGAGAATGGGAATACTAGATGACCAAAGAAAATTTGTTTGGGTTCCTCCAAAAAGGAAGAAAAAAGAAAAGGTCTGGGTGTTGTGTTTGACACTACTTGAACTTCAATATATCTAGAATAATGGCAAACGCACCCAAACTACTAGGCTACGTCGCTAGAAACATACAAAGTCTGGTCAATATTTGAACCCTAAAAATTCTTTACACAACGTTTATAAGGAGTAAAATCTAGAGTTTTCTTCTCAAAGGCTTCCATAAATATATTCGCGATGACTGGTGATAGTGGAGAAGAATAGCTGTTTCCGACGTTTGTTCAAAAATTTGACCGTTATAAGAAAAATATGTTCCACTTCCACTTCACCACAGAAAAATGAGGCCGGAAGCAATACTATATTTGCCACTGTGGTCCTTCCCTACATTCAACACATCACAAAAGAACTTTTCCAAAAATCTCTCAACATCTTCGGTCCTTCAAAGATAAAATTCCATTTCATTCCGGACGAAAAATATCAACTTGGCTCAAAGAACACGAAAGGGCCTTACGACTAAGACAAAAAAACACATCAGCTGTTGCCGAACACACTCAGCAAACCGGACATAAAATTTTATTCGATAAAACTAAAATTCTTGCATGTAATCAATTTTTCTACCAACGAAAAATCCGAGAGTCTAACAATATATAAGCAGGTACGGAGTAAAATGCGATCTAGTTTCAGTCGAGCTCTGAAGAAGCCAACAGGATGATTGGAAATATTTAAATTTATGATTTCGTGAATTATTTGGAATTTCCGAATTTTGAAACGGTCAGTATTAACCAGGCAATTTTCCGACGGCAGTATGCAAAGTTAAAACGAAAAAAAAACAGGAAGTCTTCGTCTTTACGACCTCATGTTTTGTTTGTTTTTGTTTGTTGTGAGCAAGGTGATTTTTTGTATTCATGTATTCATTTAGAAGGTGGTCGGATAAAATTAATTACTAATGAAATTAATTTTATTTTCTTCATTGCTACAGAGTTCTTACTATTGCGAGATTTTTTATATATTTTATAGGATACCCCATAAGTCCCTAACAAGAACTAACTTTTTATTTCTGGTTCCCCCTTGAACAATTTTTAAAGATGGAAGATTATTTTCAACACTGCGCCTTCTAACCATTTATGATTATGGTTTGTTCATCACCGCCTACAAGATGTCGGAATTTCGATCCATTACACAATTTTCGTCATAACGTAATTCTATATCAATGAGCCTGTCTCTATGGACAGTCAATGGTTTTCCTGTTTAGTCATATTTCTGATCAGAAGTCAACCAAAACCTTAAAATCTTTTTAGGCAAATTTTTACATGCTAAACCATTTGCCTAAAACGGATCCAGATCACCCGTCAGCACAGCCCTACTACCAGTGTATTCAAGTACAAAGTATAAACTAGACATAAAATGATCGAGGGTCCCTTACGCGAAGAGTACTACATAGAATATTATTCAGTGTTCTAGTATTCAGCATTGTCTTGTAGAAACAATTATCATAATGATCGTTTGGCCTAATATTATATATCTGCTTTGTATGTCCTTGAGTGTCCTCTAATTTATGTCATGTCAATTTAATTTCTTTCAATTCCTCAATCTATCATTCAAAAAATGATAATTGTGCCGCCCTCTGCTATATAACATTAACAGCAATTAAAAATGTTACATCATTTAGAAATCTTAGTATAAGGAAACTTTACGAAACCTATGGCGAAATTTTCTCGAAAACCCAAAAATGAAATAGTAAACCGTGAGTTTTCTGTGAAATAATGAAGTTAGTTGCCCTGAGAGACTTATATTTATTTAAATAACAAAGTTCATACGGAGGTATGCATAATATTTAAATTCTGTCCACGTTAGCCGGAGTTCCAAGGACTCGGGTGTACAGCGTACGTCCGCCATCAGTCAATTGAAAAGAGAAACCGGAACGCGCAAATATCGACAGAGAACATATAGTCTGTCGCCCCCCGCTTACTTTTGAACCGTTTAGTATATTGCGATTAAATTTGGGATATTATATGAGACAATTCATTATTTTTTTCCATAAGTCAAAATGAAGGCTTGGCATAGTTTCTGTTTCGGCACATTCGATTAATTCATTTTCAAATGACGACTAGTAATGTTTTAGAAAGACTTTTTTCTACTCCCGTCTGTAAAATACCTAATTACGCACCGATCTAGCGTGCGGAAAGCGTCGCTTTACCACGTCAGTTTCGTTTCCTACGAATCCGTGCCACTTCGGACATTTCCGGGATTTTACCGCACGGGTTTGGGAGCAATCGGATGTTTTCGGAGATATTTCCCACGCTTTGAATTTTGACGTTTGTCAATTCTGACAGTCATGTCAGTGAATGTATTCGTGTTTTGCGAAAATGTACCCAAAAACTGTTCACTATTTAAAAATGAGCGAATCGAATGTCATCAAAATTTGAATTCGGGATAAAAGAACGTTGAAGATAATGTGTACCTCCGCAGAGGAAAAAAAAAAAGACATTCGTCCCGAATAGTTCAGTGGGGCCGTACTCAACTATTATTAATCCGTGTGCCAAGGTCTACATTACGCGCAAGATCGCGCAATTAGGCGACGCGGGTGCCCGAAAAAACGCGACCACGTTGACCTATAATTCGAAATAAACAAATAGGCGTCGCGTTCCAATAACCGCCCGCCTTTTCGCCGCCAAAAACAACGAACCTCGTCGATCTCCGCCTCGGTGCAATCTTCTTCGGGCAATTCCCTGGTCATCGAAGACCTGCTGACGCTGCTCGAGCGACTGTAATACTGGAACCCCTTGATCATGATATTCGTCGCGCTCCTAGACCGACCCAGGCACCGGTTCCGTTTCATCCTTAGCGCGTGTTGCTCGTCCTCCTTGCGACCCATGCGCTTCCATTCGTCCATGACGTGGTCGGTCCTTTGGAGGAAGTTCGATATTTTGTTCGACAGCGCGTTCGACGCGGTCTCCCGCTCCAAATGGGCCGGAATCGGCGTCAAGTTTTGCTTCAGCTTCGACTTGCAGCCCAAGACGAACGTGAGGTTCGCGTCGAAGACCACCGGCGACTCATCTTTACCGCGGAGTTCCTCCAGATCTTCGCAGAAGCTTTCTTGAGGGTACATCCTCCGTGGGGGCAGAGTGCAAGAGCGGGCAGAGTGGCTCAATCCGGGGCTCGGCGACCTCGCAACGCTGTTCCTCGGACTAGCTAGCACGGCGACGCTTTTCAAGGGTCTAGTTTGGAACCCGACCGGATTTCTTTCGGGTAGGGCCAATCCCGCCGAATGGTAGCCATTTTTGAGGCGCCTCAAACCGGCTGGTACCACGGGTGGTAGTCCCGGAATGGAGTACCCGTTTAGCGGGCGAGGTTCCAGAAAAGGCGAGCGTTGAGGGAGAAACGAAGGCACTACCGGCATGGTGGTTGGGCGACACTCAGTTTAATTCGAGCGAACCGGATCCGACATGGCTATTTTGGGAACCTGAACGGCGAAAATGAAAAAAAACGACGGCGAAGCGGACGGAAATGGCCGGCGGCGAAAGTTAGTCGGAGCGTACTGGGCGCATTTAGATGCGATCGCCGAGCAACAATGCTTTGGTCTGACGGAGGCCAGACCAGGCCGGAATAAAGATAAGTGCCAAGGTCTTTTCCTTTCTCCCTTAAAGTGTTTTCCACTTGGAGCTTAAAACGTAACGGTTCTTTAGCTATTGCCTTTTTCGAAGATATCAGTATCCTGCTGGGTAGTAAGGTCTTTTATTATTCGTTCATTACGAAGTTCAACAAGAATGAGTCGCCTTTTCTTATTCCCCGGTTAAATGGAATTACCTCTCTCGTTCTACTCTGATTCATGCAAAATTTCTGGATTAGTCCTAATTAAACCGGCGAGTATGAAATGGGTCTCTAGAATTTTCATTCCATGCTTCGGATCTTATTATTTTAATTAACTAATAATTTGAGTGGATGTTTCCTATTATCGAGATTTCTTCTCTACAACATTGCTTCTGAGGGGAGCAATTAGTCCTTAATTAACATAAATCCTACTGTAACCAAAATTATGTAGGGCTGTGAAAAAAAAAAGCCAGGTGTACTTTCTTTTGAATACGTTAAAAGTAATTTTGCGTATGTGGTTATACGTTTTATCCTTTTTGTGGAAAAAACGTCAGAATGCAATTTGTAATATTTTGAGTTAACGTATCAGTTAAGTGCTACTTTGCATTGGTCAGTGTAAGAACTGGGAGAACTCTTATATTTTAACGACCTATATGATGAACGATCCCTCTTGGTTTGGTTCAGAATATAATGGTTGACTGGGTTCCATATATCATTAAATCGAGATTGGCAACAATCGTTTTTTTCGCAAGATTTAAACCATCATATTTTGACGTTTTTCTATTCTGGCGGTCACGTTACACGTCATTCAGTGAAAAATATTCATGTTTCTTTTAAACTAATCCCAATAAAATATTTGGTAGGATGTATGTTTCGATATTACGATTCTTCCCATATTGAAAAATCGAGATTCCACTGAACTCTCCTGTCTCCTCATACTCCATAGTAATACGATTTTCTGATTTGTTTTCTTTATCCTTGACACTTTATTATTTGCTGCCGCTTTCCTTGTCTGGAGTCAGC